TTTAATTTTGTCCACAGAAATCCTGCCATCCCATTTCTGGCAGCATCATGTCCATCCAAACTCAAGATTCAGGGGGATTCAGGTGAAATCTAGGTGCAACAGAAGATTGTTCCTTCCCATTCCAAATTCTTGATTAACTACAGACACTGCTATGCACATCTATACAAAAAGTCATTTAAGTGCAACCAAAGCCACGTCCATAGTCTGCTACATTTCTCCTGACCTCAGATCATCTGATGTCTGATGCTTTTCATGTCACTATTCTGGAGCTACAGCTGAGTGCAGCCCTGCAGAGAAGGACTTGGTGTGCGAGAAGTTGGTCAAGAGCCAGCAGTGTATGCTTACAGTCCAGAAGGCCAACTGTGTTCTGGGCTGCATTAAAAAAGGGATGGCCAGCAGGGAGAGGGAGGTGATTGTCCCTCTCTGCTCAGCTCTTGTGAGGCCCCGTCTGCAGTACTGCATCCAGGCCTGGAGCCCCCAGTACAGGAAGAACGTGGAGCTCTTGGATCGGGTCCAGAGGAGAGCCACTAAGATGATGAGAGGGCTGGAGCACCTCTCCTATGAGGAAAGGTTGAGGGAACTGGGATTGTTAAGCTTGGAGAAGAGAAAGAAGAGAAGGTCTGGGGAGACCTCATTGTGGCCTTCCAATACTTGAAGGGAGTGTATAAACAAGAGGGGGAATGGCTGTTTATAAGGGTGGATAGTGAATGTGGAATGGGTTTAAACTGAGATAGGGAAAGTTTAGGTTAGATATTAGGAGGAAGTTTTTCACTCAGAGGGTGGTGAAGCACTGAAATAGGTTGCCCAAGGAGGTTGTGGATGCCCCATCCCCGGAGGTATTCAAGGCCAAACTGGATGTGGCTCTGGGCAGCCTGTTCTGGTGGTTGGCGACCCTGCACGTAGCATTGGATGATCATTGTGGTCCTTTTCAATCCAGGCCATTCTATGATTCTAAATGATTCTCCATTGCAGACTAAACATTGTGGAGAACTCATTTTCACATGAATAAACATGAGTAAGAAAAATACCTGCAGCAACTGAAGTAGAAGAAAATAGTGCAGGAACTGGGGGATATTAATATTTCCTCTTCCTTTAACCCTTTCAGGTATCATGAACAGAAAATTTCAGTATCAGGTTGAATGGGGCTGATCTGGGGGGTGGCAGACGCGGCCATGGCAGGGGGCTGGCTCTGGGTGGACTTTAAGATCCCTTCCAACAAAAGCCATTCTGTGAATCTATGAATATTGAAATAAGCATTAATTTTAAAAGTTAATTTATCTAGATTAGGAGAATTCATTGGTTGCAGCACTGAGTTGTTCTATTCCACAAGGCATTTTAATTTCTCAGGATAACACTTGAACAATGTGCAGCTGTTTTTACAAGCAATTCAGTCTACCTGACAAACACAAATTGCTCGTAAGAGCATACTGCTCATGCAGAAGGTGGGAATAAGCATCAGAAAGGGCTATAGGACATGGAATTAAGTTTCTCCATGTGAAATTCCTCAAGCTTACCTCTTTCATGACTCCCACCCTCCCTCATTTTATTTATTTTAATCTTCTCTGATTATGAATGCACACATCAACATTTAAAGAGCTGTTACCTGTAATCATAGATGACACTTGGAGAAGGTATTGAACTCCACTGCAGTAAACAGATTAAAAACAGCTGTGGGGACTGGAAAGCATAAAATTCAGCACAGGCTTACTTGAAGCAAATAGCAGTCAGAAAGATTATAACTTTCCTTATCTGTGCTCATTGTTCTCTTTTCAGTCAGTAGCCTCATGAACAAGTGAAGAGGACACACATCTGTAGAACTGCAATTTAAGATTTGAATGACGAACATAATTGCAAGCCAGCAGGAAAATTGTAATGAATGTATGGAGAGGAAAAAGAGGAATAATAAAAAATGGGCCAAAACTAAAAAACACAGCAATTCATGCAGCCAGATTTCACTCTAACACAACTATTCCTGGAAGGCAAACAACTAAATTCTTACCTGGAAAGCCTACAATCCAGACTTCACATGGATGTCCAGACAGATTATTATTCACCTACATATAGGATTTATCAAAACATGGTAAAACATATATTATGATGAACAGCAGACAGCCTTGTTCTTGTCTGTATTAAATAGAATGTATGTATGTGCCATTAAAACTTTTACAGCTAAGGTGCTTGTAAAGGCCTCTTCATCTCCTAGAGAACATTGCTTTATCATAGTATCACAGAATGGCCTGTGTTGAAAAGGACCACAATGATCATCTAGTTTCAATCGCCCTGCTATGTATAGTCGCCAACCACCACTTAGAGAGCTGGGACATTTGAGAAACAAGAAGGTTTTGCAATCCAAGGTAACAGCATTTATCCTTAACAGTGCAAAAGCATTTAAAACAACAGCTACCCTGAGCACACGCACAAAGAAAGTGATAAGGTGACTAGTTCTCTCATGTCTTTATGTCTTGTGTGGAAATGGATGCAACAGCATATGTTACTGCAGCCTCCAAAAGATGAGAAAGTCCCCAAAAACTGCTCCAAGTGAAAAATGCCAAAAGGTTCGAAACACAAACTCGAAAATCAGAATGATACCATCCAAATGAAAGCTGAAAACCTTTGAAACAACAGCCTATCAAACTGGCTGTCATTTCCTTGAATATATTCTTTTAAATATACTTCTTTATTTGTTTCTGACTGTTTCTGTCACCTACAGAGAACATCTCATTAAGAAATATAACTGCTTTCCTGGACGCATAACTATTTTCTCTTTTATTTCTTTAAACACATTTTAAAGACATATATTTACACAGGAAAGGCATAGAAATATGTAGAAAATTGTTTCTCATGTATGTGACATGCACAGCCAACAGAGCTGCAATAAATCAGCTTCTCTAATACATTTTTTTTTAGAAAAAAATGTTTTAGTCATAAAAGACAATTTTTTGTACATGTTACAAAGTTGCTGCATCAGGTGAAGCTCTGCAGTTACAGACAATGATGACAATGATTAGAATCAACATAAATGTACTCAGTGGCTTTGGATGGCCCCTCTGAGGTGGCACACGTCACACTTGTTCTGTTTCCTATCTACTGATGATACAATTTATGAGAGAGACTCTAGTTGATGTGTCAGTTTCATACTTCTCTATCTGAAATAAAAAATGGCTGGTAGTTTAGCCAAGAAGAAATAAATTTGTGGAAAATTGAATCCAGTGTTACAATCATAACATCTGTCCTCAAAAAATTTCATTCATTTACAGTCTCAACAGGCTCTTTGATAGCTACAGCCCACTCAGACAGCTGGGCTGGTGTCACTTCTCCTAGTTCAGGCTCAAAAATATGTATCTTCCATTTCCAGTTCATGCGACAAGCAGCATACACAAGCATGCTTTCTTCAGGAAAACATGTGGCTGCAGATATCCCAGTTCTGCCTTATGAGTGAATTATTCATTTTACACTTATCTGCTATCCTGATAACAGCCTTTATGAGAATGCATCTACACAAAGAATAATCTGGATGTAGTGATAACCTTTGATGCTGTGTAATACACTTCTCAGATGAAAATGACCTTCAGCATCTTCATGGTCCTTTGTTGGACTCTCTTGAGTATGTCCATGTCTCTTTTGCACTGTGGCACCTCACCAGTGCTGCATAGAGGGGAAAGATAACCTCTCTCCACCTGCTGGCAACTTTACTTTACCTAACACACACCAGAAAACTCAACCTTCTCTGTGGCAAGGGCACACTGCTGGCTCAATTTGGTGCCTACCAGGATGACCTAGTTCTTTCCTGTCAAGTTGTCATTGGCAGTCCCCCAGCATACACAGGGGTAATCCAGGTTCAAGAGTTTGCACTTTTCCTTGTTGAACTTCGCAAGCTTCCTGCTGTCTCACCTCCCCAACCCATCCTGGTCCCTCTGGATGTATCTTATGATTCCTTCCATTTGGTCTCATCATTCATTTCCTACTAATTCAAAGAGAGAGAAAAAATGAATTATAAAGGCAGGAAAAAAACCTAACACAAGAAAAACCCACCACATAAATATTTGTGCTCAGCCCGTCTGAAAAAAGGCTCTGGACTCCTGTCATTACTCAGCAGTTCTTACAGGAATTAAGCATAAGTGATACCAGTGGTAAATACGCACATGAAAGTGAGAAACACACGCCATGAGCAGTACAGAGACTTTCACAATAGCTGTGCTAGCTACCTCTTGTCATTTATTATACCTAAGTGCTACTAAATTCTCCTCACACTACTAACCAGTTACATACTTTTGCATCTTACTGTTCCATATTAAAAGAAATTGATACTCATTATGAAAGAATTAATGAACAGATAAAGTTTTTTTTAAAACAGCTTCTGTAATACTCAAGCAATTACCTTTAATAAAATTGTGCATGTGGAGATTATAATCTTTTTTAAAAAACAGAAAGCCTTTAGAGCGTGAAAAGCCCCTAACTGAAATAATGAGGGAGCTATGTGAAAAAGCCTCACTGAATTTCCATGTAATGCACAGAAGTAACATATATTGGACTGACTGTCTAAAAAAGGTGGGCACAGATGAAGTTTAAGGGCTTTCTCCTGTACAGAAGAAAACACAACAACACAATGCAAATAAATACAATGGACTTCCATGTTTTAGTGAGAGCTTAAGATAAAAAACTTTTTAATTTTAATAACAAGTCAGCTAAATTCATAGGAATTAGGATGTCTAAGGTAATATAAATGAAGAAAAAAAGACACATAAAAGTTATCAAAGAGGTATAGTCATTTAATTTTCTTTAAAATTAATACAGAAATATATGCATCTTTTTAAGAATTTTTTATTCAGATAAAGATGTACAATGAGAGAAGTATCATTCTTCACTGCTGCGGAGAAACAAGAGTGGGATATTAATGCTTAGAGTCATTTTATGATTTTGTTTCTATATAAGTAAAATAGCTTGTATATTAGCAATATAATGAATCAGATTTGTTTTAAGTAATCCCCAAAATGTTTTAATTGATGCTCTGAAATAATTTAATTTTCTGTCTTCTGAACTTCTTCACTACTACGATAGATGATCAGGAAGTTCAGAGTTTGGCATAATCTTTCAGGATCATTTGCAGCTTCTGGCTCAGCATGATGTTCCCCTTCACTTTCAGTTTACCAGAAAAGAATGCCTAGAAAGAGGCAAGAAAAGAAAAAAATGCATTCAACTGTCCATTCACAATCCAAAGAATTGCTATTACCAAAAAAAAAAAAAAAAACAAACCTGCAAAATGAAAATTGGGGTTGTTTCATGCTATTGTCCCTAGCTTACAGAGCTATATATGCTGTCTCAATCTTTTCCAGTATTTTTTTTTTTTAAAGTTTTGTTTCACTGTGGCTTCACAATTTGAAAGCTCTTTGAATGTTCTCAAAGGAAATCCTTTGCATAGCCCCATTAACTTGAAATAGATTCAAATCAGGAAGAGACAGATTGCAGAACAGAATTCAAATAGATGCTTATAGCTCCTTCAGATTAGAAAACTCCATATTAACTCAAAGGAAATATTAAAGTTCTAAGAATTTAGACAATATGCCTGAATTGCAGTCATAGCTCTTTTGCTTTCTGGAGATTACCTGTCAACATCTAGGCCTTGGTTTATGCCCTACGCTTGCCATATAAAGAGGGCCACAAAGGATTTTATTTCTGTAGTATACAGGTCTTCTAACAGACATTTGCCATCATTGTTAGACTCCAATTTTAAAACCAATTCTCTAAGAACTTCTTTGGGATCAAAGACAACACACTGTTCAATATATGATGAGCTAATTAAGGTTCTCATTTGCTCAAGCATTAGATTGTAAGCTGAAATATTACTTTTGTGACAGTTTAATTTACTTTTACACATGGCATTGGAAGTACAAACTCTGGTTACAAAACTTGCTTTCCCTCAAAAAATGACCTAATTTTGGTGAATTTATGCATTGTTTGTCATTTTTCCTTACAGCAGTTGTGGCAGTAAATCAACAAATAGCAACAAATACCAGTTTCCTGTAATATAACATATCGAACAGCATAACCTTACAAATCATATTGTGAAATGTCAGAGGAAAAAAAAAAAACAACAAAAAACTTTGTAATGTTGCGCTTTATTTCATTTGAGGTACTGCTATCCTCCTTAGAGGTAAAGATGGCATAAATTCCTTTTCAAGCCTTCTGACTATTTCAGTATAAGATGTGCTTATTACCTAATCTGAGTCTGATCTGTACTATCCAAACACCCAGCATTGCAGGTTTTGGAATGCAAAGAGTCATGAGCCAGAACTTGACTTTAGGCAAACTTCCCAGGCAAGTGAGTTGGCACAACCATTTTACCTTCTGGGGATTGGTCTTCTGTTTCACCACATCCATAAAATCCTGGTCTGAGAGTGTGAAGATGGTATCAGCAGTACTTCTCGCAGGTCCCTGGTACACGGCTCCAGAACCATTTTTCAAGTCAATTGCTGAGAAAAAAACAGAAGAATATAGTTTTAGTTCAAAGTAAAGATGAAATTTTCAGTTCAAAGAACTCTATTCTCTACACTCATTACTGCAAAGCATCCAGCCTAAATCATAAATGTCAAGCTAACAGTTACTTAGAAAATGAAGGTTTTTCTAATTCTTCTTCTTTAATGAAAGAAAATAACAGGTTAGGAAAAAAAACACCTATTCCTGTGCTGTTTGAGCAAATCAGATATGTTCAGATAGTGAAAGTGTATGCGTCCTCCATGCTTGCAGTTAAGTAATTCAACTGTCCTAAGTCCAAATTCTGAAAATTTTTCTGAAGTGGAGATAAAGAAAGTGTTTTTGTTTTTGTTTTGTTTTGTTTCTTTAGAGCACAGACCAGGAGAGACACAGGAAAATGTAACTTGATCAATTCGTACCTCAGTCGCAAGCACCAAGTTTTATAGTAATCAAAGGGAGAAAATGCCTATATTACCTTAAAAATCCTCCCTTTTATTTTTATGGACACAAAATTTATGCATCAGCATTGCATGAATCTACCTTGTCATTTAGACTTTTCCAGTGTCTGCTTAAATAACTATGCTAGATTGAACTTTTGATATTCAAATTAGACTCGTCCCCGTCCTTAAAACACACTTATTTTAGCAGCCAATTAATAAGGGGCACATGCACTTAAATCTTATTACTTTATCATGGTTCCATGCACAAGGGTTTCAATAATTTCATGTCATCAGTATAATTTAACACAGATAGCACAGCAATATGGATGGGAATTGTAGAGGATAAAAGGAAAATAAATCCACTGATAACATAAGGCACGAAAATGTCTGAAAAATGTCTCAAAAACAGACAATTGTTTGGTATTGAAACACTTCTTGAAGGAAAAAAACATAATAAGAAAGTTTTCAACTAAATCTCAGCCCTTTGGTTAACTCTAGAAGACATTTAAAGACTATCCACCTAAGGAGAAGGGAAACTTACAGGAAAGACTGCCTTTTAAAAATTGCTGCACAGACATAAGAAAACATTTTTAAACAACATCTAAGAGTCCCAAGTTATTAATGATATGGTAATGTTAACAGCAAAGTTGTGAGGTTTTTAAGTTGGTATTCTTTAGTCAGAGAAACTCAAATGTGATGGTTGTTCAACACGTTCACACTTTCCTTATTTTGCCTGGCAGGCAAACATAGCCTGTTCTGCTTGGTGGAGAGAGCACTTCAAGCCTTGCCAAACAGCTGTCCTTCTCTTCTGGGAAGCCAAAAATTTCCTAAAGTGCCTGGAGATTTAGAGTGTTATTTTCCCAAATGAAAAGCCTTGCCAAAATAATCTACTACAAAGCTAATGCTACCAGGTATTGTGTCACTTGTTTAAAACATTTTGACAGGTTGTGCTCTGCCCACTCTTTCTCAGATTTTGCAAATTCTCAGCCTTTCTCATTACATATTTTCCTTCTGACCCCCCACTTTCTTAAGTACAAAACAAAATTATTATTGAAGGATATAATACTTCCAATCAGACAAAAATTCTCAGACAGCTTCTCTGAGTTGCCAGATTTTAAGGCAGTTGCCTAACCGTGGAGACTAAAAACCAGCTCACCTTTTATTTTCACTTTTTCTGAATAGTATCTCTGAAAGGTTAACTACACCACTTTTGTTCATCTCAGGTAGTTAAATCTTTCATTTTCTGAAATTTGTTCTAAATATTATTTTTTCCAGTTAAAATAAAACTATGAAGAAAATTATGTGTCTAGTGATGTTCTTTGGGAGAAATTACATACTACATAATTATTATTCACTTGATTTTAAGATAATTTCAGAAACAGGTTTAATGTATATCACTACCTTGACACAGTAAGAATAGAAGGGAAATTACTCAAAAGCAGATAAACAACCTGCCCATCTATCGTAAAAGAATTAAAGCATACCAGTAGTTAAGATACGGCTATTCAACATACAGGAATAAACCTAAAAATGAATACTCAATTAAAAATATCTTCCCATCTTCTTCCCAGGCGCAATTTAATTCCCAATACCTCTACACCCTCCCCAACTCTGAGCAGTTCAGGGGGATAGACTCCATAGGAGAAAGGCAGCCACCTTTTGTTTTGTTTTGTTTTTCCCCCTTGCCCAAATTCTCCCTCACAGAAGATAAGCAAGTGCTCTCAGCCTGAGAGCAAACAGAACAGCATCATTCTCTCTTCACAGAGTGCCCCGAATTACTTTGCGTCATAAATTATTAAGCAGCTTCCTGGTAATTTTAATGACATTCACAATGAAATGCACATAAACTTTCCTATAAAAGTTTTATTTTTTCAAGAACTGGAAAAGAAGAGAAATATTTTATGCTCTCAGCGTGATGCAAAGCAACAGAAGACAAAACTTCTAAACTTTTGAGTGCTGTTCTAGAGATTCATTAGCTATCAGCTAATAAATCTCAATGGCAGTGTCTGAGAACTACTGAAAACAAATGAAGCATAAAATATGCAGAAGGGTAGAGTATGCTTTAGGTAGTGAAGCTAGTAGGAAAAGCTGCAGTTAAAGCTGGTGGGTATCTAACAAGAATTCTGTTTTAAAAAATAAGCCTTTACTTCTTAGCTTATTCCTTACAGTTTCGACGCTGACAGAATGGATACTGTTTTATTTCCAATTTCAGCATTGTAAATTAGAACAACTTGTTTCTATTAGAAAAAAAAAAAAACCCTAATTAAGATCAGTTGTCAATAGCTAGCGTTCAACACTTTTCAGACAATGAATGAGTTGTCAAAAATTTCATATCCTGAGTGCAAAACAAGAATTTCTATAACCACGGCTTCATGCCATTAATAGAAAGCTAGATAAAAATAAAGATCATTGCTAATTAAAAATACCATTACTATTATTAATACTATCATCAGAAGTGCCTTTGTAACAAGAGTTCACACATTCCATTTAAGATAATAAAAATTCTGGCTTACTGTGCAAAACAGAGATAAAAAGGTTAGAGTAACAATTAAAGCACTAAAAGTAATTTTAAAAAGAAAAGACACTGAAAAGCAGTGAAGCCTTAAAAGTTTGGAATACAATGGAATGACTGCCTGTATGAGAAAAAAATTCAGTCCATGATACAGTTTGCTTTCTCTTATCTGCTTTCTCTTTCACCCTCCTCCAAGATATCAAGAAGCTCAAGGACATTAGCAGGAGATGCTACAATCATCAAGTGAGACAGCAACGAGCTACAGGGCCCAGATTGTTTCTAGCACTGTCAATTGCTGCAGTTTTCACAACAGCACAAAGCTGTGTAAAAGTGACAAAGTCCAAAGATCAGAAAACAAGACAGCACAACTAAGTAATGAATTTAATAAAGGAAAGAAGACCAGCAGGTAGCATAGGAGAGCGTTAAGTACTATTTGTACTGTCCTGGGAGGCTCTCATTAGTAGAGTCTTAGAAAGATGATGTGTAATAAAACAATTAGTATTAACTCAGAGCAAAACAAAAAACCTCTCCCAAACTAATCTCCTGACATTCCAGTTGATTCAGTGATAAGAATTCTGAACATAAATTGAAGGAATATACAATATTTACTCACAGGAAACAAATTCTAAATTAATTTTAATTCTGAATTAATTTCAATTTCATGTGTTTCTCTGCAATACAAGTACCTAGTTATTTTACAGGATCTCACTCAACAAAGGAAAATTAGGCACAGAAAAGTTCTGTCCATTTAATTGTGTTTAGGCAGTGAAACATTCATTGGAAGAAAGCACAACTTCCCTCCTAATGCTTCAGAAGCAAGCAGAAGAAAGAACAAGGATGGATCTCCTCTCTCTGGATGCAGAGGCAAAAACATCCAACAATTTCCACCATAATAAAACATGGTTTTGTGAAGCAGATAAGGCCACTGCTCAAGCCTCAGTCTTTCATGCTTGTGTATTTTGCGTTCAACAGTTTGTAGCTTATAGTCTTCCTTAATCACAGATTTTGCACATAATTCTTTGCCAGATTCTTCTTTCATTAATTTATTCATTCTCTGCACATAATATTAAGCCACTAACAAAGCCATTCCAAATTTGAGACAATAGTAAACCATTTTAATGATGACGTAATTTCCTACTTGTTAGGGTAAACAACATTGTCACTTATATTACTTTTATTTACAGATGAAACAATGGATGTGAACGATGTAGTTAACAAACGTAAGTAACCACTTCAAGGGTTTTGGAGTCCAATCAGTATATCTGTAATGTACTTTCTAAAAATTCAGGCAGAAACACAGAAAAGACTTCATAAACTTTCTGTCCAGTTCTAAACATCATTTAAATTAACAAAAGTGTTAAGAGTAGAAGACCAGAGGAATGATAGGAATGATTAAGAGTAGTAGTAAGTTTCAAGACATCTTAGTTAAATTATGCAGTATCCTCTCTCATGTTCATTTATCGGTACTCAGCATTAATCATCTACACAAGTATATTCAATACATTGATTAACTGCTATCCACAAATCTCTCCCCATCCCTTAAAAATTGCAGGAAATGCGATACAGGTAGAACAGAACTATGTTGATCAATCTACAAATGACATTTTCTTAATCCTCAGCAGTAGTCTTGCTTCTTAGAATCTTTGCTTCTTAGAATCAAGAGAAAGTGAAATTATAAGGTCCTAAGCTGCTCTGTAAACATGGTAAACATTTCACGAGAACATGACATTATACAGACTCAATACTACTTAAAAAGCAAACCAAAATAACAACAACAAAAAAAAACAAAACCAAAAAAAAAGAGTGACAACAACAACAACAAACAACAACAATGAAAACCCAACCACAATTCATAGGACAAAGTGCAAAAAAGACCAGGTTTGACCTAAGGGATTGGTATCTCCCGACAGCCTGCCAAAGGGAAGCTCACCTCACCAGTATCTCCTAAAACTGTTCCAATTGGATTCAACCATTGAAACCAATTGAAATCAAGCTGTGCAAGAGACAGGCTTGACCCCAAGATTTGCATTTCTCCACAAGGAAGACAGAGAGGCCTAAAATTACAACCTGAGTGCAAATTACACCCTTCTTCCCGCCCACTGCCATTACAATCTTTGGCTTGGTCATCAACCCTGTCCTTCCCTGAAGGATGGGCAAACAATGTTTACATTCATTAAACTTTCTTATCAGAAATTTCACATGGAAATAAGCTGGATGATATTTTTACTGAAGGCACAAGAACAATGCAGAAGGAATAAATACTTGGTCAGTACAGATTAGTTAGTTTATACATTATCAATAGACTAGTTACTCCAGCATAGCCCGTCTAGAAGAAGGTTAAATTAACCTAAGTGTAGTGAGGACCCATTCTGGAAAAGATAAGCACAAATGCCCTGAAGTTCTAGAAGACTGAGTGCCTATGCTTTCATCTAAACAGGCAAGTTACAGAAGCATAATGTTAAAAAGTTGAAAGAAACAACCATTATGGAACTTTATCTGAACACATTATTTGTGTGTTCAGTATGCAGTCAGATTTAGGTCCTTTCATCTACTAGTTTATCCTTGTTTTTAAAATAACATTTTATTTAGAATGAGTATAATTAATCTCACTTCATTTAAAAAAATGCACTGGGGCATTATACAAGAGCTCTTACTTACTCCACTGTACTGCTGTTTTTCCATCTTTAGTGATGTTCCACTGGAACACAGCATTTACTTTCCTTACCAATTCATGTCCAATCTCTTTGATGCGACGGCCAATTTCTTGAAACACCATGTCACTCTGCAGCCTTTCAGTCTTAAAAAAAAAAAAAAAAAAAAGAGAGAGCAGGAAGAATTTAAAAAGGAAAGCTCTTAAAAAAATGAGACATATGACTATTAGTTTAAACATTGTGTCCAGGAGTCTCTACTGCAGAATTATCCAGTGCAACCAAAATGTTTTCCACCACAAATAATTACTTCTCACAATCGTCAGCAGTAAAGAGTACACTCTAGCAGAACATGCTCAATGGACTCTTACTTGAGCATTATTTTATATCGCAGTTTTTGTCATTTATCACTGTAACTTAAGATATGCTTTGCACTTAGAATTTTTTCACAGCTTCTAAATTGCCTTTTTTTCCATTCAGAGAATAACCATTGCCACTTTTTCCATAGTGAATGGAATATTTGTTTTCAGAACACAAAAAATGTTTTTACCAGCGTTACCTTAGTACAGCATGACAGATTATCAGAGACTGCAATATGAACGCAGTCAGAATTCAGTGCAATCACTTCAGATCAGCGACATTCACATTTTTAACTTTTCCAAACCTGTGATGTCGTGCAAGCCTTTCATTGTTTTACCTCACCAAATATTTGTACTTGATAAAAAGCTCTAATTTAAAAAGCTCCCCTGATATTTTCATCCAAAGAGAACTGAAAAGAGAAGTTATCTTAGCTTTATTTTTTTCTGCTGTACCTACCCATATACCATGATGCAGTACTGTTCACACTACTATCTCTTCATCTCCACTGTGATGACTAAGAAACATTTTCCATCATACAATGTGATTTCTGATGATGTGAATTTGACAATCACTCAGGTGAGTTCCCCTACTGCATGACTCAATCAGGAACCTCCTCCCAAGAACCTTAATTTCTCAGTCAGCTTGAAGAAAAAAACTATTCTGTCCATGTTCAATAAACTTCTGTAATTATTTCACTGAAATGTTCTAATCTTTAAATGTTTGAACCTCAAATGTAGATTTGGCAGCAGTTCACAATATCAAAGGACTGAACACAACCAGTGTAAAGGCACAGGTTCCAAGAATATATCACAAGCCTTAGATGAACGTCACTATCAGTATTTCCTAAACTTCAATGCATTAAAGTCTCATTCTTTGCACACAAAAATCATTGGAACAAAAATCAAGGTTTATTAAGGCAAGGTACCATGTACCCAGTTCTCCAAAGACTACACTAACAACCCAGAAAGACATGAGCACATGCAATTTTGTCTTTAGTGGCAAGTCCGATATCCTGGATATATACCAACACCCCATCAAGCCTCTCTCTCTCTCCCTCTGTCTCCCTCTCCCTCTCTCTCCTTTCCGGAGAGAATACATTCTGTGAAGTAGATAATGTGTGTTAGATCACATGCACAAACAACATTCAGAGCCTTCTTTCAAAAATAATTCAATGATAAAATTATTCTTTCTGTGAGGACACTACTTCATTTTTACTTGCTCTTTTCTTCTAGTGCTTTCCTGTCACTCTTCCCATGACTCCAGAAAAATGGGAAAAATCACTCATTTTTACAGCTTACAATGAGTTCAGCCTCCATCATCTTTAAGAGAAAACCAACATGCTTGTTTTACAGGTACTGCCCTAATGTGCGGCCCTGAATGCTGCATGACTCTTTTGTTTTGTAACACACAGAGGAATGCTTATACTAACTGCTCAAATGGTATAAAGAACTTCAAATTCCACCAGGTATTCTGTGGATTCTATCAGCCTTCAAAATAGGTCCACAAGCCCTACACAATAAGCACAGTGTGTGCTCACAATCTCCTAAGCCATATACACATGGAATCTTTGTGAATAAGACTAGCAAGTAATTCTATTATTCTTCTCCTGTTTCTCACAACAGTACAGCCCAACTATGCTCCTTTACAAGTCAATGTTTCTGTTGCTTACAGGCTCCAGTGAAGGCTTATCCAAGGCCGATACTAAATCCACATAGCCACCTGCAATAGCAATGTCTCCAGTCTCTTTGACCTGTGATGGGGAAAAAATTATATTAAAGAGGTAGTGCATTGGCAAATATATATATATATATATATAATAATAATAATCACAATAAGTTTTTTATTTATGTTTTAAGTTCAGAGGTTAAGAAAACAGGAAAGTTCAGTAAGAATATAAACAAAGTCTAGTTTTAAAGCAAATTAGAATTATACCATTTGCAAACAGTTCTGCAAATGAAACAATTAACTGATTCTTGACTAATTAAATCAAAATCTAATGATGGTTTTGTGTTTACAAAGTGATCTAAAAACATTACCTATCCAAAAAATTATCATCTCTGATACAATTAACTGTTAATATTACTTCCTAAACAGCTGTGAGAAAAACACATTGCTCCAGAATGACTTTAGTGAGGTGGGTAACCAGTTGACAGTATTTTCAGGCATCTTACACTAGAAACAATTTTTTAAACACTGTAAGATCAGAAAGATTGCAAGGAGAAAGAGGGAAAAAATACCTGAATTTCTTTTTATTTTTTGAAATAGTTATGTGTCAGATATGAAACTGAGTTTCATTTTGTCACTGTTTCTTTAATGAGGACTGACACACAACCATTTTGACTTCCTAACAGTAAAAGAAAAAAAGGCAGTAACAAAATTATTCAGTGAAAATGCATATACAGAGTTATACGATAAATTGAGAAGACTAGGCAAAAATCAGTCTAGCTTAATGCACAGGTGAATTTAATATAGAAAGAATGTACACTAGAGATTATTCAAGTCATTCTTAACATCCTATCACCACCACCATTGCAATTTCAGGCAGTGCTGAAAATGAATTTAAACCACTGTATCACAATTAAACGTGTATTTTCAGTTTGATTTATCTTGAGTGTACTACATGTACACAGATGACTTGATTTTAGACTACTCTGAATTAAAAAAAACAATAGAACTTAGCATAACTGCTTTTAGCAAGCAACTGTTGAAACAACATTGTTTTCCATAATCATGTTAAACACCACAGTTTGCCTTCAAACTAAGTTACATTATTCCACGCTGAAGCTTACTCAAAAAAAGCAGTATCTCCCAGAACTCTGCATATAATGCTAACACTACATCAAGCACAACAATAAATCCAGCCTTTGAACACAAAGAAGGATCACATTCTGTATACAGTTTTCAAAGGGCTGGGAAGCATACTATGAACACTGTTACTTCAAACTGTACCCTCAAACAAAAAATCTAGAAATTCTCTCAGGGCTGAGCAGCAGTAAATTTTAAATACTGGTACACATCTCTGTGTCTCATCCACTGTAGCTGTGCAATAGCTCCAGTGCTGATCTGAGGCATTAAACTGTCTTGTTTACTGACTACTAGTTTGTATCTAGTAACCTTAAGATTGTCCATATTATGAAATTCCATAGCTATTTGCACTTATCAGGTCTGCAAACAACATTTACCCTCACTAATCAACACGTATTCTGCAAATCTGTGTTCCTCTGGAAACGATATCTATCCTGTGTCGTTATAATGATCTTCTTCCTTTGATTTTGCCTGCTTAATACTCTCTTTAGCTGCTTCTGTCGCTGCTGCTATGCCCACTGATCAACAGTTTGGCTGAGATATGGGTAGCAAAACTTTGGCCAGCCAAAGCAATGTACATTGTGTCTGTACAAGCTAATGCATGCTGACAAATAAGAGCAGCAGTTCATTATTTAAGAGAATGCCAATGGCATGGGTCTCTATAACAAAGACAATGAGATTTTACTTTTCACCTCCACATGAAGTATTTTTGCTGACACTGAAATTTTCCACCATTACAGGATACTCACACAAAATGCTAATAGCAAATTCCATGAAATTAGTTCTAATACTAAGAGCATATAAAATCCTCTAACAATATTTTTTTTCTTATTTTACTCTAATCTTTGTGAAACAATAAGTAGGAATATTTAATTCTTTTCACTTTATTTATAAATTGTCTTCAATGGTGCATTTAATGAGCTCCTTTATCACTTCCTGTCATATTTACAAGCTTTTACACAAGCCACACTTTTCATTCAAGTCAATAACAGTGGCTGCATTCTCACCTTGGTTTGAAAATGAATTCTACTTCCTTCCTTCCACATTTCTGTTTGTAAAGTTTGCCCTGGAAAGACTGGCTTTGCAAAGCGAACCTGAAAATAAACAAACAAATAAAAAGATTAAAGAAAATAATTCAAAATTTTGTCAAATCTGTCCCATAAAGCTTAAAAAAATAGGTTCTACTAACCTGAAAAAGAAAAAAAAAAAAAAAGAGAAAGAAAATGAATCAAATAGTGATGCAAAGCATATAAATATTTAAGGAAACATAGTAGACAGAGGCATTAAAATGCACACAACAGTAAGTAAGAGCAGTTGTGGCAGTCAGGACGATGAAAATCCTATCTCTACCCTAAATAATTTTTTTGGCACTAAAATCAGAAAATTAAGAAAATTAATGGCTAATAACAAACTTACAGACCTTGATCGCCTTGAATCTAGTCACATCATTGTTTGCAAACTGCTTCAAGATGTTTCTAGCAGCAAACCCAAAGGTGCATAGTCCGTGAAGTATTGGCTTCTGAAATCCTATTTCAAAAATTAACACTTTAGTGATTGTAGCATTAGGAGTTCACATGTTTCTACTACAGGTATTTGTGTTTTAGCCAGAGCATTTTATTCCAGTGACATTCTTAAATTAGTCTAATAAAAGGATTATCTTACTGAAAAAGCATCTGTAACTACTTATTAGTACCTCAAGGCGAAGGAATGTGTTCACTGAGAACTGAAGCTTCAACACCTAATAAGCAGAATGAACTGTCTGAACTGGTGATCAAATGAAAATAAGATTATCTTTGTTATTACACGTGAACAGGCAGAGCAGATATATTACAAGGATGTCTGCACATTAATAGCAAACTGAAAAGTGGTAACATACACACACAAAATGCTTCACATTTTGAATTCCTATTAATAGTTGTCAAACATCTTCATATTTAGTACACGGTTTGTGTACTAAATATTTTTATAAGTACACAACAGCTTTAGCTTGTTTGGAATGGGAAAAAAAAAAGCACTTAAAATGGTTCAGGCATTCAGAATGAGATGAAGAAAACAAAAGTTACAATGTTCTATTCATATTGACATATTGCTCAGGCTTCCTTGAAGCATCAAGCTTTGCAGAAAAAGCTGGATCATGGAAGAGGATAAACTATATATTAGTAATTAATCTCCTTTCAGTCCTGCCAAGTCTGACAAAATAAGCCTTTAAAAGTCAGCCTGACATGTGCTAAAGCACAGTCATTAAGTTATAAAAATACAGCTTGCACTGAGTACATTCTGATCCCTTAGTAGGTTGATCTGACCTCATGGGTTACTGTGAACAATAATTGATCATGCCTGTAATAGCTCATGGAGAGGTTGTCCAGCCCTGGCTCTGAAAATATATGCTTTGCCTGGAACTCATCTGCCACTCTCAACTGTCAGAATCTATTTTTCCTGAGCTCTATGAACAACTCCTCACAGCATCTACACATCATGAAAAGTTGTCTCAAGGGACAACAACTAGAAGAAAACTAGGAGAAAAACAAAAAAAGAATAAATAATAATGTGAATATATATACGTAAAGGAGAAGGAGAAAGATTGGCCTAAGGAGAGGCAGAAGAGATAAGACACTACTTTCAAGACTGAGACAAAAAGGCCACTAGCACTTGATAGGGAAAGACAGGAAGTCTAAGACAGAGCCTACATGGAAGACAAGACTACCAGGAGTCAGAATGACAAACAGAGATTACGAACGGTTAGGTTAGGAAAAGAGACATGACAGAAAGACAAAAAAATACACACGCAAAGAAAAAGCCCTAAGATAGTCAAGTGACTTTTAACCTAGACTAAGATGAAAGGAAAATAAATGTTATTTTCACATTTCAATATCTTAGATGTATTCACATGCTATAGGAATAAGAACACAAAGATATCAACATGTTCTCCTCCAGTATCTTCTCTGAAACATTACCTATCTGCAAGAAGGCTTAACAGTAATCTTGGAATCACCTGAGTGCATTAAGATTTATGCTTCTTTCCAGTGCACACAGGTAAGAGGTAGTCAATTTAAAAGACAAGAATGAATTTAAATGCATCCTAGGAAAAAGTTTCTGTATAACTAGAATAAATATATCTGAAATACCTCTTCGGTAATTTTCTTTTTCATTTAAACATAAATCTAGCATAGATATTTGAGTAGGAAACTGCCACAGCTGTAAAATCCAGCATTGTTCTTAAGTTTTCAGACAGATTCATGTACAGAGTAAATTTTGATTTTCCCTGTAAGTACCAGTTGCTCTTCGTATGTTGAATTTTACTCCTTCTGCAAGGACTTTTTAATGCAGCATTATATAAATGACCAACTTACTGTGTTACCAAGAGGTACGCAATTTTACAAGAAAAACGTGCTCCACTCTATCCTGCCCTGTTATCATTTATTGGAGTTGAGAAGAATACACATAAGCAGAAAAAGCTACAGCAACACTAACATGATCTCAAAATCATTTAGATGGAAAGAACAATCTATCAAACAGTTTACGTAATTCCCTCCAAAGCTTTTGATAGTTAATTGAATTATTTCTGCTTATGAAAACAGAGATTGAACAGATGAGAAGGTGGAAAAATACAAACTCCAGCAGGAAAATTAGACAAAAGATTGCCTTCCTTATTGACTTAACTGTAGATAAGAATCTGAGCAATATTCCAAGCATTCCTAGGTACACGAAGCAATGCTTCTAAGTGAGGCACAACACAAAACTTTGAAGACATCTAACGGTGACTTTAAGGACACCTATGAAAAAACACTGCTTTTCCCAGTCTCTTAGACCCTTACTGATAAAGTGAAAAAAATAAAAATACATTTGCATCATCCTTTATCCAAATATAAATACAACAGGATCCCTCAACTCACCTCCCAGTGCAGCAAAACTTGGATCAAGATGTAAAGGATTCCAATCCCCACTAAGCCGATACAAGGCAGCCTTCAGAAGCAAAGAAAAATGGGAGGTTAGCTGGGCTTGTAGAAAACAGCAAAATTACTTAAAACTACAGATTATCAAACTGCTCAAAATGTGTTTTACTAACGCTTAGATAATAAACTCTACAATCAACCAAATAAAAGTTATGTTTTTTGTATAGACAAGCTGCCAAGGTCCAGAATAAACTAACAAAATGTGAGGTGCCTTGGTACATGATAAAATAATGAACTGCTTAATGGGAATAGAAACATATTCTGGTGACAGGCAGATCCAGCTTCACTAAAATTTGACAGCAGGGAAGTAACATTTCTTAGAATTTGTCAGTAGGTTCATTTGCTTGAAGTATAATTTTAAAGAAATTCTTGCATGACAGATTCATTCACTTAAAAAAAGAATACATCTGAAAACTTTCAAAATAAACAACAACAAAAAATGCTAACTATGCTTCTTCAACACATCTTACAGAGGTCAGAAATATTCTTTTTTAAGAGTAACATGACAAGAGTAATTGTGATAACATTCTCTCAGCAACTTCCAGCAGGGCTGATCCCAATATTAAACAAACAAAAGCCCCCAAAGTGACAGGCCAGGTTTTCTAGAAGACTTTTGTTTCATGTTAAATATTTTCCTTCACTAGGAAAAAGACAAGAGATACAAATGTATTGTATATACTGTGAATGTGGATAAACCTGAGAAATAATAAATGATGTGGCTACTATACTTTAGATTCCTATGTTTGTATGCCTTCAACATTTCCACTATCAAATCCTATATTTGCTGTATGTGTGAAGTGGCCAGAAGTCCATGATATGAGATGAATGGCAAAGTCAACCATTTCTACATCTTTCTGGTCTATATTATTCCGAGGTCATGAGATTTCAGTGAAAGAACTAAATCATGAGATACTTCTACTATAATGTTCCCAAGAGTGCAGAGGAATCAGCAAGTAACATCAGTGAAGAGGCATATACAAATTGTGCAAGAGTTTAACTGAAAAGAAAAAAAACAAGTTTTATTTTAATGGTGCATATCATTATCATAAAAATTCTTTCCCAATACTCTGCACCAAGATTATATAAAAGGTATATATGCAATTATACAAATAAGTGTAGGTTGCAACAAAGGAAAGCAACAATCAGAAATTAATCTTATAAGATCAACAACAAATAAAAATAGCTAAGATATCTTGCCAAACATGAATAAAGTCCAGACCTGAAGGCAGTACCTTTCAGTGCCATGACACTACAGCTAGCAACCTACAAGCCCAATCCAATCAAGCTGAAAAAAGGAAGTTGAATTTACTGACAGTGGCTGTGATGTCACAGATGCCATTCCAGAGGGGGCCTCCAGGGAGTTTGCAGTGAAATACACAGTGCTGGTTGAGGGGCCAACAGGGAAGCAGAGGAGAAAATGGGGGTTAATGTAAAATTTTCACTGCCATATAAATGGCAGCTGGAGTGAACAGTAGAAACAGTAGAAAGAAGCAATTGGAAAGGGGCTAATTATTACTATCTGTGGAGAGCATCTCCTCCCTTCACATACCAGCAGAATTATAAAATTGTTTGTGTTGAAAGGCGTCTGAAAGACCATCTAGTTGCAACCCCCCTACAATGGGAAGGAACACCTTCCACGAGGTTAGGCTGCCCTAACACCTAGCAACCTAACCTAGCAACATCTAGCTTGAACACATCCAGGAATGGAGCATCCACAGTTTCTCCAGGCAATTTTTTTCTGGTGTCTCACCACCCTCCGAGTTAAGAATTTATTCCTAACGTCCAATCTAAATTTAATCTCTCTCCTACACCAACACAGGTGGTTCACAAAGCCCCACCTCTAAAGCCTGTCAGGGTCCCTCTGGATGGCATCCCTTCCCTTCAACATGTTAACTACATCACGCAGATTAGCATCATTCTGTCTGATCTCAGTTCTCACAGAAATTGAAGAAGAAAAAGGGAATTAAGTGTGGCACAACACTCCCCAATCGTACACACAGAAGCAGCATTGGTTCAGAGAACACATAAATCCTGTTCTTCTGATTTGATGCACCTTCACTTGTCTCCACTCTTCTGCTGAGAAGCAGCTACATTTTGCTTTCACTGCCAAAAGCTAGAGTGAATAGCAGCTCTGAGGTACCACTAATTTCATTGCTAAGACCTGTCTATGGTCTTCATGACACACGAATATTGAAGTTAGTTCATTACAAAAGAAATTTTGGTGGGAAGCAGAATCATTTGAAAAATTACAGGATAACAATTTTAATGAAGTTGTTCTCAACACAATTAAACAAATTAGAGTATTATCCTTTATTAATGAAGCTCTTACAACAGAGTCAAAAATGTAACAATCACCACTCTTTAGAAGTAGAAAAAGTTGCCAAATGTGAACTGCACAAAATTATTACACTACTTTAAGATAAATTAAAAGCTGTCAAAAGGCTTTTTTAAAAAATTTCCACAAAGGAGCCATTGCAATCGATGTTAATTGATACTAAATAACAGTTATAGTAGTGGAAAATTATATTTACATAAGAGACCAAATTTCAAGTTGAATCTCGTTAAATCTATGCAGCTTCTTCTTACTGAACTTGTAAAATACACTACTCATTTATTTAGGGTGGTAATAAGCAGTACTTCGGAGACAATACTTAGGCCAAATGCCGTTCAAAATAATTGTGGTGAAAATTATTACACAATTAACATAATAAATGTAACATTTAGGAAATAATATAGTTCAATGTGATCAATTATTATGTGATCAATGTATTTTACTAAAAATCTGGCACATGAGTGTAGGAAATACTTGGCCTTTGTATCTTTGACAGTTGGAAGTGGCCCTGGTCAGTGTCAGAAAACACATCGCTTGGAACGAGTAACAACACAGTTACAGAGCAGGCTATTCAAATTAAGTGCAGTCACCTTAGGTCTGCCAACAAACTCTTTTTCAAATTTACCACATTCTTGGATATTACTTAATTATATAAAATTATATGAAGAACATATCACATTGTAAAAGAATTGCTGTAAAGCCTTGTTGGCCCTATTTTCTATACTCCTACAATAACATTTCCTGAAATCTTGAGTGATAGCACAAAAGAAAACAGAGCGATACATCCTCGGAGGATGACAAGAGCCAAGTGATGAGGGGCATTAGACTGAAGTCAGTCATAATATGGTTAGATTGTTCTCCAATTAATAACACAAACTGTCAAGTCTAATTTCTTAACAATTTAGGGGTTCTGCCAGATCACAAAAGGAAAGGCGATATTCAATTGGTCTGTGCCAACATTTCAGTCTTGCCTGTGGACTGCAATAAAGGTCAGTGGTAAAGCTAACAAAAAAATCAAGCCAACTCTTCATATATTTTGCCTTCTAACTTGTCAGATAGAGCTTTGCCCGAGAGCTTACACTTTCAAGTACTTTTGTGTATGTGCATGTGTGTTTATATGCACGTTTGTATGCTTTACTGAACAACTTATTAAAGCAACTGCAAGCAGCCCAGCCATCTCAGAAAGAAAAAAAAACAGCCACAAATCTCATCTACATTTCAATGAGCTCTGACTTACATTAATAACAATGAATATTTCCAGGTAGACTATCAGTGTTGATGCTTCAAGGGATCAAATTAACGCACTGTACTAATAAATAGGCAACTACACTTCAACTTTGAGATTTCCACTTGCCATAACTTCTTTTTAACCATCTCTTAAAGTCTAAGTATAGATATTGAGAAAGAGCCATCAGTAAACAACAACACATAGAAAAATAAAAGTGTTTGTTTGTTCCTTCCATTAACTATTTTTCCCACCAAAGAAGGTCTATGCATAAAATATTACAGATCCTATTAGTTGTTCATAACAGCTTCCAATGCCTGAATATGTTTTGTGGAAACCTGGTTCACATATAGTTCTTTTTAATAAGAAGACTAACTAAGAAAAACAAGTATAGACCATTTTAAGCTTGCAATTTCATCTTCTCTGTTGTCTGGACAATATATAAACTCAACACTTCTCTAGCACAGACTTCAAAGAATGTTACTTACTTATAAAAAGCAAAGCAAACATACAGGAAACCTTTTTTCTAGTGGTGGCTCTCAATTAAAAGATACAAACCATTTCAAATCATCTTGTTTTGTAGAAATTCAAATGAAATAGCAATTGTTATATACTTCTGTAAGACATCCATAGACAAGGGAAGGAAATCAACTGTTGGAAATGAAGATCATCTCGTTTAAACAAAATCACTGCTATCCCAGTACCTTTTCTTTTTTTACAATCTTACCACACAGAATTCTAGTATAACTAAAGCCATCAATTATTTTTCAAAACCATCATAATTAGAAAAGTATAATCTGATCTTCCCAATGGGGATAAGCATGCACACACACACATGAAAACAAAACAAAGCAACAACAAAAAATCAATCAGTTACAGCATCATAATATGTAATAAACTTCAACTGTAAACATTCACTAACTACACAGTGTCAAGGATCTGAAGAATACCGTGTCTGCACCCTGAAACTCTAGATAAACTAGGAAAACATTATCAAGTCTTTGCAATGGCTTCACATTCATTTGTTCTGCATGTATCATCCTTAGTTGTTAAGCACATTTTGTCAGACATGCTCTCAAGATCTGTGAACTTTGTTCTTTTCATTATGAAACAAATTATTTATGCTACAAATAGCAAAAAATACCTGAGGCTCTCAGGAGGCTCTCTGGCACTATATTCTGAAGTTAATTTAAATTTACATGTTTTCAGGCAGTGGTATACCACAATCTTTACAGAGCAGGACATAAAGAAACATTTGTCCTGTAACCATATTTTTCCCATCCACGTGAACATGATTTTATCATCATCTCTCTCAGAGGAGTATATTGCACTCATTCAAAAAACAACCTTAATTCAAAACATTCCCATCCCTCTGTTTTTGTTTCTTGTTTTGTTTTTATTCTAAGCTGTTAAAAATAAGAATAAAATCTCTCCTGAGAAACAGGTAAAAGCTGGAAATAACTAACTTCTGTGCACAGTGTCAGAAAAATGTTCTACCTATATCTATGTTTTCTAAAAGCATACACCAATATTTAGGCTTAAGATGAAAATAAATATGAAATGTGTTGTATATAATTACTTTCCACAGGTGAGTACCAACATTCTAATTATACAGAAGCTTGCAGGGGTCTTCACATTTCATACTAAGTGTAAAGCAGTGTTTTATAGCACTGAACCTGCTCACAATGGGTGGACAACATTTTACAATACATTTCACTTTAACAATGCAGTAGACTTGAAAATGTTTCCTGTACACATCATTCCTCCGAGGTATCTTTTTAATAAGGTTTATTCCTAAATCCACTCTTTTGCAATACACTTATTTTGTACATTGTCTTGATGATTGTTTCCACTTGGATGAAGAAGTGTGGTTTTGACAGAACATTAGACAGTGAAAACTCAAACAGCTAGAGGACAGCAGTAAATGGAATAGAGTAGCAAGACTGAGAGTCACTCAGGAAGGGAGAATGCTGTGGTTTAACCCTGCAGGCAGCTAAACACTGCCATTCACTCACTCCCTCCACCTAGCCAGATAGAGGAGAGAAACGGGAAGAAAAAAAATGAAGTAAAACTCTTACATTGAAAGAAATAATAGTAATTATGATTTTATGTATATAATTTTTCCATATATTTTTATATGTATCTATATGTATACACCCAGACATATAGACATTTGCCAAACAAGTGATGAATAATGCAATTTCTTACAATCTACTGACTGATGCCCAGCCAGTCCCTGTGCAGTGCTTCCTCCCCTTGCCTATTCTCTGCAGTTTTAGAGTTTTATCACCTGTCATAAAGTATGAAATATCCCTTTGGCCCATTTAGGCTGTCTGTCCTCTCTCAGCATCTTACTGGCAGGACAGCATGAGAAGCATAGAAACGGAAACAACCCTGTCTCTGTGCAGTACTGCTCAGCAGCAACATCAGTGCTTTACCAACACTGTTCTTCTCCTAAATCCAAATTACAGCATCGTATCAGACAATATGAAGAAAGTCAGCTCTGTCTCAGCTGAAACCAGGACAGAGGGAGTCACAGGTGATGACCACAGTACCTGAAATATCACACCAATTCTTTTTCTTCTTTGAGAAGAAAAGGACTTGCATTTTAGAAAAAAAAAAAAAAAGACTAAAAAGGAGCAATTTATTCACATCTCGTTAGTCAATGTTTGATCTACACATGATTTTATGCAGTTTGTGTGTTTTAAATCCAATCAGATTAGTTTAAGTGTGGATTTACTGAATCTTTCTGAAAATTCCTGAAAAAATACAAAATCATTATATTTCCTAAAGCTGGCTTTTCTATGCTGCTTTGTATCAGTGTCTTGAAGACCACCAGACACTGTATATCACTTCTTTAAACACACTCTGTGGAATTAAAATGCCTCATGCATTTATAAACATCTTTACCTTGCATACAGAAAACAATAAGACAGCAGAAAAGGTCATAATTGTCAGCAACACAAACCAATTCTGGCTCTCCAGTGTAACATTTGACATTTAAAAACTGCATCATGAAGTACCGCATTCACAGGATATTAGGACTACACTCAAAGCAAGCTTTATTTACTTTCTTTTTAATCTCGCAACACTTAAAACCTTACCAAAATTTTCCAAACAAGATCAACTCATAGATGACAGGATATCAAAAAGCTGTACATCATCATCAGTCTCAGTTTCACTAGCTCTAACAATGAATTTCAAAAATTCTTGAAGACAGATCTACCCAAAAGGATGGCCAATATTTTTAGACCCACACTAGATGCATCATGTGCTTGAACAGCTAAGTTTCATGGAGAAGCAGCACCGGGAGTATAATTTGTGTGACAAACCACATGATGCACAATTGCCTCTACATACAGTTTGTTCCAGAACAATGGGAGATTGAAGACACTTCAAAATCCATCTAAACAGTCTTATCTGCATCTTTGCCTTGCCTGTTTCTCTCAATTCAAGTAACAACAAATACTCAAGATTCAAAACTCAAAATGGGAGAATGCCAGTGAATTACAGGATACTGACACAAGAAAAGGTAATTTTTCAGTGATAAATATTTCTTAAATACTAGACATTTTACTGAACTAAGTTGACATTAACAGAAATCTGGAGGTTCAGCAAACTTCTTGCATCTTCCATTTTTCTCGTCAACAAAGTGGGAAGGAACACGGAATAGTAAAACAAAAACTGTTTCTTGAAAAACTTCATTTTATGGGATCCTGTGTACTTAAGTCTGTGAAAAGACTGCAAATGCTGAAATTCATTTTGATATCTGAAATCAGATAACAGTTCTAACTAGCAGTTAGATAACAGAAGAAACTGATCATACTGTACAATATTTGAATACCGTGGCTTTTTCCCAGACAAGAAAAACAAAAGAAAAACTGAAAGCCCCCCAAAAACACAAGACCCTATACTTTTTTCCTTCCTCAAAAGTGGCCTGCATCACTTGGACACCGTGAACCTCAAGTACACACTACAGCTTCTTTTGTGTTTGTCATCAAAAAAATGAATTTGCAGAATCATAGAATGGCCTGGGTTGAAAAGGACCACAATGATCATCTAGTTTCAACCTCCCTGCTATGTGCAGGGTTGCCAACCACTAGAGAATTCCAAAGAAGTCAACACATTTGGGAAGGTGGTGATACCTCTCCAGAGATGCAAGTGTGCAAGACTTAACTGCATCTAAATTGCACAAGAAATCATTTACCAAAATTTGATTTACTAGCATAAGTTTCTGGTTTGAAAGCTGTCAAAAAACGGAGTAGTTTGGTGATACTGAAGATCTGCAATTGTGTTGTACTTTCCCTAATGGGCTGAAATTGTACGAATCATTTCTTGTTAAATGGCTAATAGTTAAGCATTCTTTAGACATCGTGATCTTCTGTCAGAAGTTCTATTTTTACTCAAAAGATTTATGGCAGTATGCCCTGTAAAGCATGGCTCTGGTTACAGAGAACAAGTTAGAAAATTCCATAGCACAAACATATCTCTGCAACATTGGAAAAATGGCACTAGCTCTTTACAGAAAAAAAAATTTATGTACTTCAGCAGGATGCAATTTTTAGTCCTTTAACAGCCTTAGAAGCTCAGATACTTGACTACTTTTCATCTTCCAGTGGCTCACAGTGTGGTACTTCAGGTCACTCATTAAAAAGCACTGGCTGATGTTTAAATAACTTCTCTGGAACAGGAACAAATTTTAGAAGAGTAAAGACTTATTATAGTGCCCTACTATATTATCAAATTAGTCTTTGATACCACTAACCAAAGGGATCGGTTTGTTCTGTCAGTAGACACTGATATAAGAAACAATCATATTTCAAGGAACTATAGTTGTACCCTCCATTGTGCAGCATATACAGTGAAGGGCTAAAAACAGCTGTTGTACCTATGTTCCCAGTATCCTCTTCCCTAAAAAGCACTTTACCCTGTCTGGAAACATTAAAAAGTACTCTTCCTCTCGCACTGTGACTTTACTCAGAGTTTTCTGCAGTCTTTTGTTTCCATAGAGTGCACATACAGCTGCAGTGTACAGTGTACAGCGAAGCTAGGGAAATGCCAACACATAGGTAACAGCAAGCAGTTAATTTAAAATTAAACGTAGCTTCTACAACCAGAGTCAATGATTTCAGTGAAAGAAAGGAGTCACTAAACATTTTTAAAAGATGCACAGTGCTCCAGTTATCAGGCTGTTTGCTACATGATGAGACTGTGAGAAGTGAAAGGGAACAAAACTGTGTTTTTCTTAAAAAAACTGTAGTGACACAAAAACAGCCTGCTGAATGTCACAACAATCTTCGGAAGCTAATATGGCTCATGTTGACAAACTGACTCTGTCTCCTCAAACATAAACTGTTTTGATGGCTGAATGGCAATGGTCATTTTTGCCAACACCTAAGGCATTTAAACAGAGAAGAAATAAACTCCAGAAATGCTAATGCAATTTGCATGCCAGATTCTGTTTACAAGGATTTTAGGCAGTTACATGTCATTTCACAGACACAGAAATGTAAAATTTTGATTACAGTTCCCCACGTTGTCAAACACTTAAAAGCCTTTACTTTTACCCCATATAGTTCCTGTGATCTGCATATTCTCCATCCTATACATTGGTATCATCGCTTGAACACAGATGCTACTGAATAATTTGACAGATAAGCCTTGTAATGCTGAAAATTCATTGCCTTTGGCTCCTGCAAGATCTAATGTGAGATGAATTATCATTGTATATTTGCCTGTCATAGCAGATCACGAAACAAAAGCAGAGTGATGGCTACTCTGTGCCACCTCATTTATTGCCGAAAACCTATTTTGCAGTAGCAAAGTTTCGAAATTTCTGCATCACAGGATCACTACCACACAGCAACAATTTTGTGAGAAGAACGTTTTAGAACATTGAATATACTATTGTAACTTAATGTAGCAAAAATTTTACCTTCAAATTATACATGGAGTACAAGGATATATAAATACTTGAAGTATAACAGAAAACTGGAACAATTAATACCGTGCAAGACTAGTTTCTTCAAGTAAAATAAACATTTTTACATCTTGAGCATGTACCACTCTACCTGATCAGATGTTGTGACATCAGAAAGTACAGCATCTGGAGGTCTCTTGGGTGGATTCACTGTTACCTAAAGCAAAAGTTGTTGCATCAATATTTCACCACAAGAAATCTTTTATCAGAATTACAGTTAAAAATGTACAGACAAAATAGCATTTACAAAGCTTTTAGGGTTTCTTCCAACCTTTCTTCAAAGACAAGTAAGAGAAAAATATTAACATTAGAAAAATAAGTTTTTAAACTCATCTTTGCAAAGACAATGAACGTAAGGCACCAGATTTGCCTAAGTAACATGAGGCTAATCAATTTGATTATATTTCTTCCAAACTATTCAAAAAGATCAAATAAGAATTTCCCACAGAACAAGTTTTCTCATGCAACATGGGTATTTGGAATGTCGATATAAAAGTAAAGCTTTTAAAATTATATTCAAACCTCAATAGGATACCAAAAAATTTATTCCCTCTCTTACAAACTATATCACTTCCAGTCTTTCAATAGTCTTTTCCTTCTGTCTTTACAAACACATGCCGCATATGAAATCACACAGCATTCTAAGCAACCTGCAGCCTTTTTTTTTTTTTTTCTCAGTTTTGATGATAGGAATTTTACCAGCATACTGGTAAAGTTGATTCATAAGGTTTGATTTATAAAGTTACAAAAATTCTCTATGACTGATTAAGGTTTAGATAAAAAAAATTAAAACAAAACAAAACTCCTAAAGAACATCCCCTGCTGTATTACAAATGTACAAAAAGTAGATATCATCAATTAGTGAAAATGCTGGGCTTACAATAGCCCATGTTGAATTGACTTATTACTGCAGTTCCTCAAGGTTCTAGTTCACAGAAACAAGATTCTGTCAGAGCTTCCCTGTTCTTACGTTTTCCAAATCTCTTTCATGTGGACACACAGATTTATGAAGAGCTACACCTAGAGTTTTCTTGCAGAAACTTCAAGTTCAAACCCAACACTTCTCAACATTTTAGCAAGCTAAGATTTTCACCAAAGCCATGTATTGAAACATTAAAATGTGATCAACTGCTAGCACAAAATTAACATGTAAAAAAATACTAAATGAAACATTAGCACTCTCTGTATACATACACAGAATACTGCCACTAGATATCAATTATTTTTAAATAAAAATAGCCCCCTCAACTGCCTCAGCGCTCCCAAACAGAAATAAAAATAAGTTCTGAAGTGGAGGAAAAGAATATATTGCAATGATATACTGATGAAACATGGCATTATGGATTCCAAATTGACATTATAAGCTTGAGGCAGAAATGAAAGTGTGGTCATTACAGGAGAGTTGGTGCAGAATTAAAATCACACATACAAAAAAAGACTGTTATGCATCTATATGGCATAATTCCAACAGCTCAGCATCAGGCCTCCAGGCAAAGTCTCTAGAATGTCAACTTCCTTCTTGTCACTGACCTTGCTGCTCATACTAAAACAAGAGTAGCCAAAAATTATGATCTTAATGTTATGCATGACAGGTAAAGCTCCCAAAATCTATTTTTACAAATAAAAGCCACTTTACTGCTTTTTGTTCAGATCTCAGAGGCTTTCAAAAATTGCTCAGATCAAAAGTAAATTGAGAAGAAAAACTTTCAAGGTTAGCTTTTGTAAAGAAACATACATTTTTTTTTCATTCTGTTTATTGCGTGTGGTTGACGGTAAGCAAACATGAAGGCTGCTCTAAAAGTTATGCCTTCTATTTTATTATGTTGGCCCATGACATTAGAGGTGTATGTTGGTGGTACTGCAGTAGAGGTTGAACCAATATTCTGTTCCTGTTGTTCCCATGTGCCAGATGGCAGCAGAAGGGCAGTTTGATAGAATGGATAGTTGGATCAAATTTAGCTACTTCAGGTTACAGCCAGCTAGACTACCAACTTCTACAGACCCTTTTCTAAAAGATTTAATATGCATCCAATTTAGGAGCCTCCTGTCCATCTTATACATTTCATATTAATGTCAATATAAAGACATTATTTTCTAACGCCAAGTCCACAGATGACTGCAAGTTATTGTAAATACTCTCAACACTAAATGGTATCCTTAGTAATGATACAACAAAATCTTCATGTAATACTAGCCACTAATATATAACAGAATTAGATGGCTGGAGAGAAAGAGAGAGCTCCTCACAAGTTTAGAGTGGTACATAATATGAAAATACCGGTTCCCAAAAGTTCTATTTTTTGCTCTTTTGCTTAGTTACTAAAATAGCAACACAACTCAGCTCTGATTCTAAACATTTTCCAGAGAATTTCCATCCTGTATTCAATTAGGATACTTTGTATTTGTAATTTCAAATATTTTATTGTAGGAATATCTAACCAGTAGCATGCTAAGATTCACTTTGCTTTCTGATTGCAAGAACATATGCACCAACTGTCCATGTCCCCAGGAGTACCTTTTTCACAGGTTCCTACTGCCCTCATTTCGCTGGAAGGGTGGTCTAATACCAGAACAGACTTCCCAGAGAGGCAGCCAGTGCCCCATGCCTGCCAGTGTTCAAGAGGCATTTGGATAATGACTGAATAATATGCTTCAACTTCTGGTTAGCCCTGCAGTGGTCAAGCAGCTGGATGCAATCTCTGAGCTATCTTCCAACTGAGCTAGTCTATTTTGTATTACTCAAATGCTAGCATATCCTTCCTAGTTGAACTAGCAACTATTTTCTTGAGAATGACAGAATGGTTACTATTTTTTTTAATACTAATGTGCTTTAACTTACCTTGGCCTTTTCTGATGTTCGTTTTCCACCAAATCCTCCAGCTCCAACAAAAAATAAAGAGAACTGGTTATAGCACACTAGATCCTTTCCACAATAGGTATTCACTGAAAAACAAGAAAAGAGAATGGATGTATACTGCACATTTTTTTCTTATAATTGGCATCTATGGAGATTTAAATATGCCAAAGCTCACTTTAACAAGTTAAGGAAAAGACAGTGGTTACACTTTCATACTGCATTATTGTGAATCTCTTCTTGACTAGTGAAAACTGATCAGCTGTTTTGAATATTATCTTGAATTTTATCTATATGGAAGCACTAAAATTTAAAAATGAGCTATCAAAATGCTGATGACATTTAAGGTGTTAAAAATGCAGTGCTGCAATTAGTATTTATTTCAGCATTTCGCACAGCATTAGCAATTCATATAACAGGATAGTTTTGAGCTATAAAATATGAGTTATTAAAAGCGATTAAGAATCCCTAGTATATAAAGCAAGCTAGCAACTCACACAATAATGTAATACCAGTCTACATTGATTGGTGCATTAAAAGAGCTCCTGAGCAACTTTTACTTTAAGGTCACTCATTCCTGAAGCTAAACATCTCACACTGGATCATTAAAACACAGGTTCCTGTTTCCAGTTCATGCATACTCCGCTCCCTCACATTTTAGACTGAAATTTACCATATTGACAGTAATGCTCACTTTCATTTCTGGAAGGAATTTAAATGCCACCACCATTCTGCTCACAGAAAGAACTTGAGGCCAGGTTGGATGGGGCCTGGGCTGTTTGATCTGGTGAGTGACAACCCTGCCCACAGCAGGGGCTTGGAACTGGACAGGCTTTAAGGTCCCTTCCATCCTAAGCCATTCTATGATTCCAAGTTAGGCTGATAAAGTAACAAAACACAATAAGGAGGAACAGAAGGACAGAAACGCTTTTATAAAATTTTATCAGTAGACTGGGAAAAAAAAACTTAAGAGTGATTAGAGAGTCACCGATTATTAGTCTGTTCCTGCAACCTAATCCCCCAAGGTATCATGGTATATCATACCTAAAGATTTCAAAATTCAGAAAACAACCACTCAGCAACTCCTAGAAATGTTCTGATACCTTAACTTAGATACAAAAGGAAGCAGAGTTTTGGTAACACATGTTCTGTTGTTGAAGGGCAGCAGAATCTAAAATGGCTGCCTTCAGACAGGACTAACTTTTATTAATAAAGAATTTTGTTCAGTTTGCACAGTGCATTATTCCCCTTGCACAAGACAGAAAGCAAACCTCAGAAATCTTTTTCCAAAAAACCAGCATTATTAATTTCAATACCTTAACTGCTTAACAGTAACATTATCTACACAGCTATCAGTAATTAGCTCATTTCTCAGCTCTCAATAACATGTAAGAAGGTTAAAATAAGATTTTATTACAGAAAGTCTGGCAGTTACTGCTACAAATAATTAAATACAGAGCCTATGAAATTTTACTACAGCTCCAAAGAAAATTATGAAATTTCTCACCATCTATAAGCAAGACTGCTCCAGAACCTTTGTCCAGTAGATCAGCAATAGTTGAAACTGATGTTAATTCACCTGTACGAGAATAAGAACATATACACATTTTTTAATCATAAGGTTTTGTTTCAAGACCTGCATGTACTGAATTTTCTTAATAATTAGCTCACTTTTTTCAGGCTAAGCATAAATAAATAAATAAATAAATAAATAAATAAAACAAAAATGAAGTAAAAACCAGCTTTTACTATTTCAAACATTAGGCATGAGTTTTCCGTGTATATCATAGAAACATAACTCGAGAGCTATAAAATGAAGTTTCTTATTTCCTTCAACAGTGCAACAGTTTGCCTTTTTTCTCCCCCACTTCTTGCAATAATATTAAAAAGAAGAAGAAGAAGAAATCGAAATACAGCTTCCCTCTCTCTACTTTTAACATGACTATAAGAAAAGTTGACAGGATGACAAGCAAATCAGCAACACAAAAGCACTGACCTGAGGTTGGTAATGGTTTATACAGTTCCAGGTACTGCTCACCATGCAGCATCTATGTAGAGAGAGGCAATGCTACAATAAAAATATGCTCTTTACTCCATTGCTCCTCATTCCTCCCAGTCATTAATGGCAAGGAAATCAATATTTTAGAATGTGATTAATTGTGTGGTGTTTTGTTTTATGGTTGTTTTTTTTTTTTTTTTTTTTTTTATCCCCAGCTTCATGTCCAAACGAAAGTATTTTCAAAATGATATTTAAGCTTTTTTTGGTACAATCTTATGAAGATTCAGTTCACATAAGTGAAGTAAATTAGTAATTTCTTATGATGAGCAAATACAAGCCACTGAGTTTTCTAAAATAGACAGAACCTACTAGTATTACAAACGTTAATTTATAGTTACAATAAGGACAAACAAAATTAGGTACTTAGCTCTTTTATACCTTTGCAAGATCCATATCTAGTCCCGGAATAGAAGGAACACCATCAAACATTGAAGTCTGAGCTGGAATAACTCCAAAGGTAGGTAAACAGCAGAACTCCTCACTTCCTTCAAAGAGAAATTTCAGGTGATCTGGATCCTTAGTTGACATTCCCACACCAAGAGCATATAGAATAGGCTCCAAGTGAGTATATTTATACACCTTAGTAGTCAACTCCCGGCCAACAAGACTTGTCTGAAAATCAGAAATCAGTGTAAAATAAAACTTCATAATACTTAGCAATGCACTTGCACTCTTTCTATAATTCTCATATCAAGAAAATTCCACATTGGAGTGTTTTCTCAAAAGCACAGTTCTGTGTAAAGGTGAAGTATGAGCAACAGATACTTTAACACATTATTATTTTTGTTGCAGTTCAAGCAACCCTACAATAACTATCTTACTGCAAGTAGTTTATGTTGTAACTTGCCCAGCAGCATGCAAGAGCTTTTTCTTAAAACACAGTCAATGAAATAGTTAGTACTAATAAAATTGAAAAGAGGAAAAATTAGCTATATTTTAAAAAGGAGATGAAATAAAAATGCATTGCTTAGTGCATATCCTCTGCCTCCAGCTTCCTTACAGGGAGTGGAGTGGCAGGCACCAATCTCTGCTGTCTGGTGACCATGACAGAACGTGAGAGAACAGCACAGAGCTGCATCAGAGGATTGTCTGGTTGGGTGTTAGGAAAAGCTACTACACCAGAGGCTGCTGGGCATGGAACACGCTCCCGAGGGCAGTCAATGGTCATAGCCCCCCCCACGCTGCTAGAGTTTAAGTGTTCAGACAATACGCACAGACACAGTGTTTTAATTCTGGATTATCCCATGTGGGCCAGCAGTTCTACTCAATGATCCTTGCAGGTCTCTTCCAACTTGGGATATTTGGTGATTCTTATCTGAATCATACCTACTCAAAAAGGCTTACAGAATTTACAAGCGTTTGGATTCTATATTATTCAATCTATTTAGCCTTAATTTTTCCCATCAGTGATAAGAAAAATGAAGAGTGGAGTCCACTAAAGTTTCTTATTCTGCTCCTTCACATCTTCTGTTCTGCAGACAGTAAGCTAGAATAGAAGCTCATCACTAACAAAACAAGTGTTTATGCCCAAGGTTTTCAGCTAGGTTTAAGCATGTCTGATAGACAGAGGTACTCACCGTGTCAACTGCTGAAGAGACCACTGATCTAGAATTTGTGGAATTCATAGATATACTCCCTTGTGACTCTATGTGACTTAATGCATCATTCAATACACTTATAGATTCTAGAGAAAGGAATTAAAAAAAAAAACAACACATTTGAAATCAGACATAAATGAGATACTCTGATTATAGACACAACAAACATCCAGCAAATAAGATACAGCTTCTCAATTCATTTTTAAACACAAGTACACACCTGCAAATTGACTGCAGTGCTGTTTTCTACAGATATTTATATAATAGTTGATGGTAAATGTTGTCTACACACGTAGTGGTTTTAATCTCAGAGAGCAGCTGAGCAACATGCAGCTACTTTGTTCACTCCCTTTCTCAGAAGAAAAGGAGAGCTCGTGTTGAGATAAGAACAGGTTATGAGGTAGAGCAAAGGCTGTTTATGCAAGCAAAGTGAAACAAGAAATGTATTCATTATCTCCCATCAGCAAGCAGATATATAGCCATTTTCAGAAAAGCAGGGGTCATTGTGTGAAATGGAAAACACCATCACTTCAGACATCAGCCCTGCTCTTCCCACCCACCCACTGTTCTCCACCTCCATCTTCTATTGCTAAGTATGACATCCCTTTAGCCAGTTTAGGTCAGCTGTCCTGGTTCTGTTCCTCCCAGCTTTTCATGCACCTGCGGCCCCTCACCTGTAGGGTAGCATGAGAAGCAGAAAAGTCTCTGTGCCAGAACAGAACTAAACACTAGAATATTGGTGTGTTATCACCCGTTTTCATCACAAACCCAAACACAGTGCAATATGAGCCTCTGCAAAAATTATTTCAGAGAAGACCAGGACAACTTGCTCGATCAGGTCTGCTCTGAGTAAGCAGCTACAAGACCTGGTGTCTAAAATACCACCAACACCAAATACTTTGTTTTTAATTCCCTGAACAACAGTACTCAGAAGATATTAGGAATTATTTTTCAACTGTCTCAAAAGTAAGCACCTGAAAGTTAGTACTGTTTGTATTCTAATATTTGCCATAAACGTAACAGATCACATCTCCTGGTGGCTGATTTCTTTCCTGAATGATTACACAAACAAAAAAAAAACAAAACAACAATAAAAAAACCCTTCAAATTGAGCCTTGGCTAACGTCAAGATTACAAGAAAGATAATGCATGGAATTCAGCTCTGGTAAAGTTGTAGTATCAAGAACAACATGCTTCTCTTGATCCCTCATAACTCAGTATGGCTAACTGACATTTCTCCCACAGTTACTACAATATGAAGCATATCATTCTGAATGCAATCACACAGCATGTGTGGAACAATCACGGGATCAAGCCTTGCCAGCATGGGTTCATGAAAGTCAGGTTCTGCTTGACCAACCCAGTTTCCTTCTATGATCGAGTGACCCACCTGGTGGATGAGGGAAAGGCTGTGAATATAGAGTCTGTAGTAAAGCGTTTGACTCTGCGTGTTCTCCTGGAGAAGTCCATGGCTTGGACAAGCATAGCCTTTGCTGGATAAAAAAACAGCTGGAGGTCTGGGCCCAGAGAGTGGTGGTGAATGGAGGTAAATCAGCTGGTGACCAGACACAAGGGATGTGCATCAGGAGTCAGTACTAGAGCCATCCCTGTTTAGTAGCTTTATTGATGATCTGGATGAGGGGATTGAGTGTACTCACTAGATTCACAGACACCAAGTTGGGTGGAAGTGCTGATTTGTCTAAGGGTTGGAAGGTCCAACAGAGGGATCCGTACAGGCTGGATTGACAGACTGAGGTCAATGGATGAAGTTCAGCAGGACCACGTGTCAGGTCCTGGACTTTAGTCACAATAACCTGACATATGCAGAGTGGCTGGAAAGATACATGGAAGAGAAGGATGGGAGTGTTAGTTGACAGCCAGTTGAACATATGCCAGCTGTTTCCTCAGGTGGCAAAGACGATCAATGGGATCTTGGCTTGTACCAGAAATAGTGCAGTCAGCAGGAGTAAGGAGGTAATCATCCCTCTGCACTCAGTGCTGGTGAGTGCACCTTTAATACTGTGTTCAGTTTTGGGCCTCTTACTATAAGAAAAGTATCCAGGCCCTGAAGCATGTTTGAAGGTAGTAAAGCTGGTGAAGGGTTAGGAGAAAAAGTCTTATGAAGAATGGCTGAGGGAGCTGGGATTGTTTAATCTGGGGAAGAGAAGTCTCAGAAAAGCCTTCATGGCTCTGTGGCCATGGCAACTACCTGAAAGGAATCTGTAGTGAGGTGGAAGTCAGTCACATTTTCCAGGTAGCTAGCCATATAATGAGAGGTAATGGCCTTAAGTTGCATCAGGAGATGTTCGGATTGAATATTAAGAAAAAAAATTCTTAGAAAAATTCATAAGACCTCGGAACAGGTTGCCCAATGAAACAGTGGAGTCACCATCCCTGGAGGTGTTCAGTAAATGTGTAGGTGTGGCACTGGGGAACATGGTTTAGTGGGTGGTGGTGATGTGTTGACAGTTGGAGTAGATGATCTTAGTGGTCTTATCCAATCTTAATGATTCTACAACATAGAACCTTTCCAGTCAAAAACCTCTCTATATTACTTTTGTCTTCCAGAGACTGCTAGCATGAAATTGAAGTGACTCAACATATTAATTCATTTCAGTCTTCACTGGAATTCTGTTGCCTGGTGGAACATGCTAGACTAGTACCTACAGCATGAGATTTACAGTGAAATTCTAGTAGTTGATCAGATATCAGTCCTTTCTGCGAGGTAGAGTTACACCTACACATTAGACTTCTGCAATAAGAAGTACAAAGGTTGTGATTAGGTACACTGTTATGAGCTAATAGCTGGCCAGAAATGGAAGATAACAAATGCACTGATAAGTAAGGTTCTTACACAAGTACAAACTTGACTTTTCAGTAATCTTCAGACTGTCCTGATGAGCATTCATTTTGAGACTCAAGTAAAATAGGGAAAAGGAATTGCAGATTCTATGTGTTCTAGATTAATTTTCTCTGTACTAGAGAACAGCCTTTTAAATGTGTCAGCTGGTGAGAATACTCAAGCACCTAGACAGCCTATAAGAAATTAAAAACCACATGTAAATATAAGAGCATACTACAGACCTCCGAGATGCTAGATTTAGCTAAAATGGCTCATCTTTTCACAATGGTGGTAAAAACTGGGGCAGTGAGAGAAAAAAAAAATTGCCTCAGAAGAGTGGCAGAGAATACAACATACAAAATTCATCATTTTCCTAAAAAAAAAAAAAAACAAAACGCAAGTAAAACTAATTTGTGCAACACACAATACTGCACTCACTATACTGTACACACCACACAATCTGCAAGACAAATTATCTTTCACCTGTCTCACAGCAGAGTTTAATCTTTACCTCTTCACAACAGAAAGAAACTGACCAGCACTAGCAGAAAGAGCCAATGCACTAATGTGCAACTGTTATCTACTACAGGGGACCACACCTTCAGAAGTTTCTGTATCATATCTAATACAGGTTTCTGCTTACGCACAGGAGTCCCAGACCTCTAAGGGCCAGCTACAAATGAGTCTGATCAATAATTTTCTAGCACAAGCTAAGCCAAGCCACGTTATTTTGCAGCTATTTCTGCCTAAGAGCGTTACACAAAGCTGGTTACAGTGGACTGTCTGACATAAAGGAAAGTGGAAAGTCATTGTAACTTAATTCTATGCCCCAACTCCATGGACTGTGCTTATTTTCTTGAATGACTTGTGACCTTGCTCTGAATTGGTAAAAAAAGCTATAAATATGACTTCAGTTTAATCATTAATGATGTAGGATCATCCTACAAGTCAGGAAAAAGCTCTGACATGTTCACTGCTGCCTCAGATGCAGTGATATTTTCATTTTGGGTTATATATATAGTCACAATTCAATATTGGTAAAGAGAATGTGGAAGAATCAGAAAACTGATTCTTCCATTTCTTTGTCTTCCCAACAGTTAAATTCTCATGCAGCTTGTTAAAGGAAAAAATAAAAAATAAAAATATACCTGTTTCTCAGGTATATTACCTGCATTAAAAAGGCATCCTGCAGTGATTATGCAAGTAATCGGTATCTTTTGCTAGTTAACAGGACAATACCTGTAACTGAGTGGGAATGCAGAGGAACTGTGAGAGCTTCTCCAGGTACATTAAGGACAAAACCTTTAAAGCTTAGCGAAGTCTATAGAGATCTATAGTCTATAGAGATCACAGGCACTTGAGGCATCAAAAGCAAGGTGAAATGACAGGCATAGTCACTCACACCAACTGTTTCACCTTTAAAGGGTAAGGAGAGGAGTTGGTGCCAAAGACTACACTGCACAATCAGTTACTATGATAACTCAGAAACTTCAAAACCTATTGAAGCAGCCATCAACTGTCAAATCAAGTGACAATTAACCATTTCCTATACTTTAAAGTAGCACAAGCCCTATGAAAATAATGTTCTCTTACATACAAATTTTTTTTGCTTGATACATTTTATATACCAAGAGAAAAAGTTAAGCCAAGAAACTGAAATGGTGCATAAAGTAAAAAAAAAAAATAGAATTCAATCTTTTTTCTTAAATTGGTTTTAAGAAAAATGCTTCTCAACTTTTTTTGGCTTGAAAATAATAAAATTAATGAAGTACATCGGGCAAGTTGGAGAACAGATCAGTGCTTTACAGCTGAAATGACATTTTCAAGAGCACCATTCCATAGCAGGAGAGCTAACATTTATAAACCTCACATACACTTGGAAATGGGATATCTGCAGTGGGGTAACAGTGAAAACAGTACAGTGACAGAGAACCACTGTATGACTTATATTCCTCCACCAATACATGAGGGAAATGACAAATTCTGTCGTTCTAGTTTTGTTGCACATCCCTATAGTTTGTTAAAACCTCTAGCAGACTTCAAAACCAACAGTTTAAACATCTACTGAGCTTTCCAGCAATTTACGTATCTCCAACATTTAACAGACATTGTACAGAGGATGCCCTTTTCCCTTCTCTCCAAAACATGTGCACAGTGGCATTTCCTAATTTAACAAATACTCAGTTCTTGGCCTAAATAAACACAGGCATAATAATTAAGCAGTCACAATTTAACTCATATTAGCAAAAGATAAAGGTAACATCTTGAGAATAAAAAATAAACCATCCAAATCAAATTTACACAGACAGATAAGACAACAAAGACACAATTTGAAATTTGAAAGCAAAGCAAGTATGGTAATGAAAAAGATCAATCATTTTCGGATAAAACAGAGACAACAGCAGGAAGGAAAATGAGGAAGATAGCAGAAAGGACACTAAGCATTGGAAGACACTGGTAAAGGGGCTGACGCTGTTCAGGAACTGGAGTCAATGTGACAAACTTCTTCACTGTTTATACCACCGCTTATACCAACCAGACAGCTTTTTGGTATGGAAAAGTCTACCAGAAGCAAAGATTCCAGAACTGAAAAGAATGTGTGACTGTTTCATTATACTGCTTACTACCTGTATTTGTGTCCAATCAAATAATACATTACCTTTAATCTGACTGTAATACATAAAATGGCAGTAAACATCACATACATAGAAAACTGTCTCAATTATACAAACAAGAACACAAAAGCCTCCTTTAAAAGATCTTACTACACTGAAACAGTAAGTGGTTAATATTACACATTTACAAGAGAATTAATCAGTTTTGTAGTGTATTTGAAGTCTTAGTAGATGCATGTAAAAAAAAAAAAGTATTCAATTCAAGGCCTGCTTGCTTTACCTATCGAGATTATCAGAATTTCCTTTACCTTGGATACTTCTTGGTTTGCTGGCATTATTGAAGTCGCAGACCTTCTCCCACTTATCTCTCACTGCCTCAGGAGTCATTGGCTGATCCTTTACTCTAACAATAGCACCCAAGGATCTCTCCCAGCGCACTAATTAGAAGAATGGTAATGGGAGACATTGATAAGAGAGCCAAAGCTGGTTGTCATGGTACAAAGCAAAAAACCATTTAGTTTCTTTGAAGTATTCTTCCTCTAGACTACTACTTTCAAGAGAGGACACTTTAGTCTAACTTTACAGTATAACTTAAACCTGGAATAAAAAGACTCACCGGTTTTCATTAATATTTAGAAATGTAATAGCAGTGATCTTAAATTTTATTAAAGCCAACAATGGGCTGCAGAAGTCACCTGCTATATGTGAAAAATGTTAATACCAATAGCCAATAACAGTCCCTGCAGCCATATTTTAATACTCCAATTTGAGATAAAATATTAATGGCTAATGCGAAATCATTTCTGGAAAGATACAGATTCACTGGATCACAAATAACCAAGAGTTATATGTTATTTAGGTAGATATCTAATTATCACTAATCAGCTCAATGTATTTCAGAACACTTTCTTAAATTACCATGTATTCTCCCATGTATCATGTAATTTTTAACTTCTACTTAAAATAAGCAATTCCCTCAGAATGCTAATAAAAAATAAAATCGTTTAAAGCAGGACTTACTGCAAAAGTTTGTACACATGTGTTGCCAAATCAAAACTTTTCATTACAATCTTGCAACAGAAAGTACTTACATTTCCCAATCCATCCTGCTCCCACCTGCAAAAAGAAAAAATAACAACAACAAAAAAATCATCAGCTTATCACATCACTACAAATTTTCCATAATATAAGGAAACAGAATTATTCCTCAGAACAAACCGAACATAATAAAAATTTCTAAACTACCATTAATTGCATCTAACAGTTTAAACAATGGAATGTAAGCAACATAAAGTTTAAAGAGTAAGAAAACAGTTTCCATTCAGTTTAAGAGCTAGCGGTTTGATGACAGTACTTACAATGCAACCCATAACTAATTCATCCTTCCTGCCAATTCACTTGTATGTTTGTATGATTCATAAACATACAAACTTTGTTGTGAAGTGGCTGCTTTACAATCTTTTTAAACATACAAGGTTACAATAAGAATTTCAGCAAGCAATCAGGAATAATGTGGGCACTCTCCAGAATTTGACAAGGTTGCTATTGACATACATATCATAAACAGCACAACTTATTGTTCTGTCAGTGTTCAGCATGTATCATCTTACTTGACAATTCAGTTTCAGCAATGAGGTTATGACTGCACAAGCAAAAGACTAACTTTCAGCCAGCAAGATGGTAGGTAGGAGGAATGAGGAGTCAAAAAAGTAAAAAAAGGAAAATGAAAAATTACCTCAAAGAGACTGCCATTCTCCATACAGGTCTCATGGCAAAGCCAAAGAACTAAGGGAGCAACATACTCTGGTTTGAATGCATCAATGAGATCTAGAACAAATTGGAGAAAGGGAAATCATAAAACAGAAATACTGTATGATTTCACCAAATTATCCTTACTTAACACCTTCTGATGATGAACAGCAGAGACAAAGAAAATTTAATCAAGAGTATTCTGCCATAAGAGGAAAGGACAAACAAAACTAAACACTTGAAGATTCACTGTAAAATCATTCAACAAAAACAACAGAGTGTATGCCTCCAAACCAAACCATGGTGGTTTGGATAAAGGACCATCTAAATGCTAGGAGCACTAACCCCCAGACTGCAAAGATAGAAACCTTCCTAAATTTCCAGTTGACTAGCAATCTGAAACAAGGACAAGTCACCTAGACATAAACCTGACAGAAATGTACCCAAGGAATTTCCCTTCCAATTTCTTATTGATTTATAACTTACTGATAGTGAGAACACTTGCGGCTGCTATTTGAGAAACATTCTATTTCAAAATGCCAGTATCTTCCAATGAGATATTGGGAATTACCAATCATACTAATTTTACATATCAACAAATATATATATATATATTTTAATTTATATGGTTATCTGGCACAAAAAAAAAAAAAAAAAAAAAACAATCTGAAAATAGAGAAATTACCTAAGACCAAAACTGGTTGTCCAGACAGCTCTAATCACATTCTACCCACTTCCTGAAAATGAGGAGTTGGAAATGTCTGGCATTACCTACACTTCTTTAACAACATGATGAAGTAATACAAGTTCAGTTTCATAAGTTCCATATAGGAAACAGGAAACACAACTGCATTTAGTATGGAAGTTTCTAAATATATCTCACAAGCTGTAGTTTTTCTGAAATATGGTACACCACAACACAAAATCACAAAAGTTAGCACTAGAATGCCATCACTAATGTTATTGGTCCACAATTAAATAAATTAAGATAGTTTGTCGAGACTTAAAAAACAAAACAAAACTACATTTACAGGCCCAGCATTAACAAAATTGAATGGACCAAACGAAACATTGACAACTGTTGTTACACTACAATATAACTGCTTGCAGACATCTAAGGATAGCCAACAAGAAAGTATTAAGATTACAAGCTTAATTTTACAGGACATATGAAAATATTTTAAAGGGAGACAGCCAGGTATGGAATTAATGCTCAGAGCTTTAGTATCTTACAGGGAGACCTAATGACCTCACTCTACTTAAAATGACTGAGAAAGAAGATTAGGAACTGGATTTATTACTCTGTGTAAAAATTTTCAGGAGATTTAACACCTTAGTAGGTGCATTTGGAGCCTACTGAGACATCAGATTTTCTGATCACTTGTACTACTTAGACCTAAGGCAGGATACTTTGCACAGAACTTAACCAGTGAAATAAAATTATGTATTCAATATATGCAAAATACATACAACATACAATACAATATATACATATGTACAAACTCTTTGTTATCTTATGTTTGAAAAAATGTAATCATTTTGCTGGCTGTGAACTGTCTACAATGAGGTAAAAAAAACAGGAGAATGAAATAAGCTGACAAGAGGACATTCTGGGAACTTTACAGAGAGGTTTTTTTTCATCAAATTCTTTTGCTTCTCCAGTCATTTCCAAAGTACATAGACAGTCTGTTTATACTAAATTTATATTTTGCACACAGCTATCTCCCACAGCTTGCTCTATTAGTGACTTCTAAATTGCAGTGTTTTGTTAAAACCTGTTCAAACATTCAAAGTTGCGCAGTACAGAAAAATGTATTAGGTAACTCAGTTATTATCACTAATGCTGATCAAGAAACAAAGGGGTATACACATGATATGTTGTGCAAAAAATGATATCTGTAAATCACAGAACTGGAAGTGCATATGCACACGTGTGACCCTACAACTAATAAAATAAACAAGTGTTTCCATATTTAAGAAAGTCCTGGAAGGGAATATAACTACAAAGCCTTGAAACACGGAATTATTTTTGTGAATTATGAAAGTTACTTCATATCTTGGTGCAAAAAACCAAAGATTCCTTATAACAAAGTAGGCTGACTATTCAAAGACAAGAAAAAAATTAGCAATTTCTAAAGCGCAAGGGATTTGATTTTTCTAGTAAGAATGTTAGTTGTGCTTCAATCCACCAAAAAATGAAAACTCATACACATTAAATAATTCACCTTGTGGCATGACAGTCTGGGTCAATCTGGATCCAGCAGTGGGTGCAATGGTGTTGCAGTGGATGTTATACTTTCGGCCTTCAATTGCAATTGTGTTTGACAGACCCAAAAGGCCAAGTTTTGCAGCACTGTAGTTGGCCTGACCAAAGTTTCCATATATTCCAGCAGCTGAAGAAGTCATAATTATTCTTAGGGGAAAAGAAAAAGAAATTACATTATTTCATGTTATTTAATTATTAACAGCAAAATGAAAGTATGGAAATAAGAATCAAAACTTTTTTTTTTTTTGCAAAAAATAGGTGCCTTTTCAATGTTTGACTGATAGATAACATTGGACAAATCTTGAGTTATCAAAGCAGCAAACAACTAATAAAGTTATGAACTTTTTGAGTTATATTATGAAACTATAATATATGCTCTCTTACAATAGATTATGATGTAGAAAGAGGTATTTTCTTCTCTGATCTAGCTGTATTTCAAATTATGATATCAATAACAATTGGCTTTAGTGATCAGGACAAAACATTTCATTGAAAATGACTTCACTTTAATATACTTGGTAACACATGAAGAAATATTATTACAGAATTCACAGAAAATTTCAAAGAATCTTAATGTCTATTAACTACATAAAAGAGGAAGATGACAAGGTCTTGTATTTTGCAGTCCCTTAACATTACTGTAGAGATGACCAAACTGCTCACTAGACACATCTAAAACAGCTGCAGTTGATGCAAGGATTGCCCCACTTGTAGTGGCTCTTATTTTATTATGTTGGCCCATGAGGTCAGAGGTGGATGTTGGTGACACAGAAGTAGAGGCTGAAACTTCCCACTAGTATTCCATTACATGTTGTTGCCACGCAACAGATGGCAGCAGAGGAACACTCTGACACAATGGCATCTGACATGGAAGTGCATATGAAGCAAAAGTGTGTCACTTATTTCCACCCCGTGGAAAAAAAAGGCAACCACTGACATTCTCTGAATGTTTATGCACACCAGCAGTGTCTGTCACTAAAGTGAGGTGGTGGGTGGTGCTTTTCAGCAGTGGTGACAGCAGTCTTCTGCTGGTACAGGTTTTTATGAGCACTGCATGCAGACTTGTTCATTGCTGGCAAAAATGCTCAGCTAACAGTGGTGACTACATTGAAAAATAATGTTTTGTAGCTAGGAATATGCCTTATCAAGTAGAGTTACTGCGCTCCTTGTTTCTGTTGTCATTTCCACAGAAATAAATAGGAGGCCCTACTTTCAGAGTGACGTACATAGCTATTTTGAGGAAAGATAATTTTCTCAAAAAACATACCTTCTCAAAAACAATGCAGAAAGTATCTTCATCCTCGCCTTTAAAAGAAGGCTTATCAGAATCAGTTCTACATTACTGTAAACATGCTGCGTATCTGAGATCAAGTCATTTGCCTCACTGGCAACAACCCATTGTTTTTAATCTAAATAGAGATTACAAATATTAACTTTGCAAGTATCAGCTCAGTATTGTCAAAATGAAAAAAAGCCACAAAATCTATACAAAATAGGCATTTTGAAGATGGCACAAGAAAGGCTAAGACTGGCTAAGTGTCCAGGGAGGTCAAGGGCAACAAGTGGACAGTGGGACTGGATGATCTTACGTGATTCTAAGAAAGCCTTCTTTATGTATATTAATAGTAAAAGAAAGACTTTTAGGAATGAGAAAAGGGAAAATGCAGGCCCGCTGCTGAATGAAGTGGGTGCTCTAGTCACTGAACACACCGAGAAGGTGAAGTTACTGAATGCCTTCTTTGCTTCAGCCTTTACTGCTGAGAATCTCAGACCCTGGAAGAGAGAGAGTCTGGAAAAAGGGAGAAGTCCCTTTCATCAAAAAGGATCTGGTCAGAGATTGTCTAGGCAAATTCGATGCACACAAATCCATGGGCTCCAACAGGTGCACCTGTAAGTGCTGACAGAGCTGGCAAAAGTGATTTCCAAAACATTCTCTGTCACCTTTGAAAAGTCACAGAGAATGGGATAAGTGCCTGAAGACTGGAGGAAAGCCAATGCCACTCCAGCCTTTAGAAAGACCAAGAAGGAGGAAGTAGGAAACCACAGGCCAGGCAGCCCTATCTCCATCCTTGGGAAGCTGACAGAACTGATTATTCTGGATGTCACCTCCAAGCAAGAAGAACCACTCAGAATTGCAGTAACATGCAACTAATACACATTTCTAATGTCCTAATGAAATGAAACATTTGAATAACCCTACAGCTCTAGTCTGGGATATCTTCACCTATATGGATAGAAGCTGTAAGCATAGCAGTGAAGGGAGAAGAAAGGAAAGCACTTTCCTACTGGAACAGATTTTGTGTCATCTCAGTGACAGAAATCCTTCACTTTCAAGGCATGCATCAGTCCACGACTTCCTAGTGAAAAAAAAAAGTATCTGACACACAAAATCTTACCTGCCAAATTTCTGATTTTTCATATGATTCCATGCAGCTCGAGTGACCAGGAATGATCCCCTCAAATGAATTCTATGAATAATATCTAGGAACAAATCAATGACCATGTAATAAACCTATAATTTTATCTGCATATCTGAAATACATAATTTGTTTTTTCCTTCATAACAAAACAGCACTCTCTTCTCAAATGGTGTGTAGTATAATCTGAGCATATGTTGACCATGCTTTCCTCCTCTTGAATGGTAATCTCTTGTACAGAATTCGTAGGCATTCAAAGTTCCTGCTCTTGAACAAGCTCTACAGAAGCTAGGACATTTTTAAAGAACTCTGCTCAATGTTTTATCACCACCTATCACCTCACTGGAGGTTTCTCTTGACCTTCTGTACTTTGGTACTTCAGTTTTCTTCCTTCTGTCATTAGTTGTGGATGTTCTAAGCCTGTTTAGCATTCAGTCATCACTACTGGCACTAGGAATGTATTCCAGCCACAAAAACTACTGGTTTTGTTTGTTTGGTTGGTTGGTTTGGCTTGGTTTTTTTACACATCTCTTTTTCATTTTTCACTCAGAGTGGCAGCTAGAGCCCTTCCTTCCTTTTTAAAATTCATCAACCTACCATGCCTCCTAAATCAGGTTTACAAGCCAAACACAAGGCAGTTGAACACAAGTAACTTACCACTACACTTTCAAGGCAAATGTAACTGTTTGATCTCGCACACATAGACAGACTTTCCCCTCCTCTTTTCCTTCTTGTCTAAGTGGGGAGGGTGTACCTTCCATCTTCAACACGTAAAGTACATCTCAAAGTTTATCAACTCACCCCAGTCTTCATCACTTATCCGAACAAATGAACGGTCTCTTAGAATTCTAGAAAATATCATTAGGAGAACAAAAATGAAAAATGAAACTGTATATACAGAAGTGACGTGCCACAATCATACAGACAGTAACTTCAGGTTCACTTACCCAGCATTGTTTATAACAATATCTGCAAAAGAGAAAATATAACTAAATGAGTGCACTGACAAAATATAACTTTACTTTTATCATTTTCCAATTCCAAAACAAAACAAAACCCAAGCAACCAGAAAAGTTAAAAACTTCTATGTTCTATTCTATAGCACACTCTTCTAGTTAAGAAAATAATTAAGAAAATACTTGAGTACTGGCAATCTCAGCATAACAACAAAACAGAGCTTTAGAAAAGAAAAGCTGAGAAATGCTGGCTAACTGGGGATACATTTCCTACAGGATGCAGTCATCCTGCTCAGTTTTACAGCTTTATATTCCACAGTGCTCCAGATATCACAGTTTGTAACACCATCTTTGTCACAGTAATCTCAAATGAAAGCTAGAAGCACCACAGCATTGCAGAGCCACTTCGACAACTAGGATCAAAACCAACTTTTGATCAAGTATTTAATTTCACTCTTCTTGGCTTTGATCATACATAACTTTTAGCCATTTAAGAATGGGCTAATATTACATAAACATCACAAGTAAGCAGTGGCAATCACATGCAAAACAGGATTTTTACTTGCTAGACAAAATACTTCAATACCTTTTTTTAAAATTTCTCTTGGAGTATTTTGATCTTCATATAGGCAAAGGAGCTTCCAGTAAATGACAGAGCCTCTCTGATTCTTCAGCTCAGCTATTTATTCAGCGTTATGCAGTTAGTTATAATAATTGACAGGCAATGTACTTTGAGACAGAAACTATTAATCATTACGTAAGTACAAAAATTCTGCAGGGTAGGAAAACACGAATCCTACACTGAGCCTTAAAATTGTGCTAAAGAGTATCAAATACTGAGAAAAGATATCCATTTAGATTCAAAGCAGCAAGTCTTAACAGTCTAAGAAGATCAAAAGCTTTTGAATTCTTCTAATGTCAAGCTGTACCTCATACATTGTTTAACTGCAGTGTTTATAATGGTTCTGCACTCACAAACAAGTTAGGACAAGAATTATGCAACTGTACCTATCCTCCCAAAAGCCTCAAGTGCTGACTTCACAAGCTTTTCACCATCTTCCACTGAATCTGTAAGAAAAAAGTGAATTTAAGTAAGTGAGCTAGATGCATTGCACTTCCAGATTATTAATTCCACAGATCTCAGAAGATAAATTGCATAAAACCCCAATATAAAATAAATCTAGTCATCACTTGCATGTGGCCTAAAGCATACTCTGCTCAGTAAGTCTTAATGATGCAATCTTTGGCATTGCAAGATAAACAAGCCAGACAAGTAAGAACTGTCCATACCCACTCTGCCTCTGACAACTGCAGGTAATTAAGTTTTCAGTGATCCAATGTTGAGACAGCATGTCAAAAAAAGGTATTGCTAAAAAAATATTAATTAGAAAAATGTTTATGCATTTGCTTTTAACACCTCTGCCACCTTGCTCCAGCTTACAGTCCATCTGTTTCATTCATATGGTATTGGCAAGCTTAAAGCAGTCTTTTATTAAAGGTGTGAACCTTTCTTTTAAGATGTCTACTGATAGATTACTGAGCTAGTCTAGAAAAGCAACATACCATAATTGGGGATTGCTTTCCCGCCATTTGCTCTAATTTCACTGACAACTTTGTCAGCAGCAGAGGAGCTCTTGCCATGTCCCTTGAAGTCACCTCCAAGATCATTCACTGTGTAAAAAGGAAATATTTATTTTTGATTGTTAGTACTCAAAATTTCTGGTCACTGCTTATCTCATTAACACAGTTGAAGTTCTAAGCAGTGTTAATAGAATCTGCTGCTCTGGATCCTACAGAGAATTTCAAATTATTAAAGAAGAAGAGTAGGTCACATTACTGGCTCACAGGGAAGAAAAAAAAAAGTAGTATAATATACACAATCTTTTTAAAATAACACATGAAACAGCTTTTCTTTTTCTTTCCACCACACACACACAGCTTACTTGCTTTGCCCAGGCTACCCCTCTGTGTTGCTGTAGTTCAAAAACAAAGACTGGGATAGTACACCTATTACAGGCAGTTAATTCGGGTCTGTTGTCAAATTGCCACAGCTACTGGATGAACTGTAAACAAGACTGGGAAGACTGTGTGCCTGTTTAACACAGTAGGTGAAGCGTTACTAGCAATCTTCATTATAGAACGGTGAAAGAGTCTGAACAAAAGGAGAAGAGCCTGCTCCGGGCTTCAGATCCTGGTTCTGCAGGGACAGGAAGGCCATCTGACACAGCTAGCTGCTCCGTACAAAAGGGTGCATATCATTAATGGTAGCCGTGCTGTACCAGTTTGTTGCATTTGCATGTCTCAGAGCTTCACAAAATCCATGCATGCTAGATTTGGTCAAAAAACTTTAAAAAAATCACTCTTGCAACAGGTTTGATAAGAAATTGTAAGACAAACAGAACTGACTACGGATTAATATGCAACATCAGTCTTTGGTTGTGGTGAACTTCAGCTCTTGTCTTGCACTTTTGCAAAGCCCTCAAGCAGCCAGCTGTAGTGAAATTTGCTTTTTGCTGGTCTCGATGCTCAACAACAACTGTAAACGTGCCATATATTCACAAAATAAAATAATTTTTCACTGTTCCTCTTTCCCCTCCTTTTTATATTCTACATTTGAAGAGGAACATAGATTGCAGGGCATGTAACAAAATCATTCTCCATTACACAAGCCAAAAAGGCCTCATCTGGAATCCTGTATTAAATTTTGTGCGCAACACTTCAGAGAGAGATGGAAACACTGGAGAAAATCCAAATGTGTGAAAAAGAATGCCAAATCCTAGAAGAAATGAGTCACAGAAGGAGTCAAAGAAAGAAAAATGCACAGCCCGAAGCAGGAAGAATGAATACAGAATGTGCTGATATGCTCAAGTACGTTACAAAACTGATGAAAAAGAGGAAGGAAGCAAAATCTCTAAATTAAATAGATCAATATCTAATATTTGGAACTTGCAGCCAGCAGAACTCAGATGAGGGAAGGAAGATTTAGGTTGGATGTCTGGGGGAAGTTCTTTACAAAGAGAGTGGTGAGGTCCTGGAACAGGCTGCCCAGAGAGGTTGTGGATGCCCCGTCCCTGGAGGTGTTCAAGACCAGGTTGGATGAGGCCCTGGGCAGCCTGGGCTGGTATGAAATGTGAAGGTTAGTGGCCCTGCATGTGGCAGGGGAGTTGGAGCTTTGTGATCCTTGAGGTCCCTCTCAGCCCAAGCCATTCTGTGATTCTGCAGTTCTGTAAGGCATTAAGGAAGTCATCTCTAAGTGTAGCATTAGAATAGGCAAGGTAGGCAGACCATTTAGTCCTCAACATCAAAGGTCTTTAATTTGACATTAAAGAAAAATCAGTGAGGGTCAGGAGCCACGTCTTATGGATAGATTTTGTGCTAAATGTTTATACACAGATGTTCAGTTAGTCTCTGACTAACTAGTTGCACTGCAACTCTCCTTCACTTCAAAAATAAATTTCTGAGAACAGCTTAATTAATCACTTTGGGAAATTTGCCAAGTCAGGGAAGTACCTGGGGCTGAGTGCAGGCAAAAACACAACTGAAGTCATAATGAGTACACAAGAAAGAAGAGAGCTATTCTGGGCTTTGAAAATGATAAAATAGTAATAGAGGAAATAAAAGAACACAAACAACTTTACCTAAACTCAAGCTTAACATCTTGTAATTTTCAATTACAAAAATCCATTACAAAAGCCAGACACTGCAGAAGTTGTGACAGAGTATGGTTATATCCTGAACTTTAGAGAATTCCTCTATTAGTACATTATTAGCAGAAGCAGTACAGAAAAGCAGAAGCAGATCTGTGAAACAGTTGGTGCTGAGCACCTGACATCCCAAGTACACCCTTTTGACAAAACAAACCATTTAACAACTATCTGTAAGTTGAAGTGACAACTCAAACATTCATTTGGAAGAGCTTGCACACACCACTAAACTTCATCTTCCGGTTTGGTTTCCAAAGAAACTCCATTTCTCCACTTCAGTACCATCCCACAATGCAAAAGAAACAGATATGGTCAAGAAAGATGCATATAATCAAACTAAATCAGCAACACAGAAAAGCATGCAGACTGCAGATACACTGAAAGGAAGAAACAGCAGGATTTGGGCATAATTCAGCATTATGATTAAAAAAAAAAAAAAAAAAAAAAAAAA